ACAAACATGCGGATGCAAACGCAACACGTTTGAAGCTGGATTCACGCATGCGAAATGTAATTTTCTTAATTAAGTTACGAAGCTACTTGATGCATTTTTTACGTCGTTGCACATAATTTCCACAACAGATTTCTGTGCGATTGTTGTACTTTTTGCTTGCAAATGGCAAACTTTTTATCATGTTCTTTGGTAACTATGTGTGAGAGAACTTAAGACGTCTCAGTACTAAGACCACGCATAATATGAAGTGCAATCCTCTGAGCACATTCACCCTCATAGTAGTCACCGATGACTGGCACCGTGAAATTATACGAAAAAGTAGTCAATTTCTAAACAGTAACAATAAGTACAGAATTCAATACGTAAATAATTACATCCTCAATAGTAAGAACTTATAGAAATGTATGTCTAGGTCAATGTAGATGTAAAAAAAAATGGACAGTGAACGCGTTAATTAAGATGTAGAGAAGTATAAACAATTACGTAATTTTGTATACGTATATAATAACGACTGGCTTATTACCGCGATCTTGAATAAACACGCGGAAGTAAAAGCAGCCTAATTAAGTATCAAGTCGGTACACGTGAAACATCGCGTTAAAGTAAAAAAAAAATAGTCTAAGTAGAATCAACCGTTCCAGACAGCCTATGCGTTCTCGACATAATTTAACATACATTTACCTAGCGCTGAGTTACATCAAGGTCACATTACAGGCTATCACTGAATTCATCTTCTTCTATCCACCAATTTATCGATCAGAAAATATTCCATACCCTCTGATCCTCGAGACGCTGGTTAAATAACGTTGAAAAATAGAAAGTAATTTTTATTTTTGTTCAACTTTTCGATTTATTATCTTATCTTGGGACACCTTTTACTTTCCAGGACTTCGTTATTTCTCCTCTGTTACATGGAGCAAAGTAAAGGACAATTAAACATCGCTGAACAGGTATGATTGCATCGCGAGAACCAGACTTTAGAAAAACGACGCCGTTTGTGTGTGTACCAATGTGAGAGTGACTAGTAATTAACAGACTTCTGGTACAAGGCACGCGTTTCCCACAACGTTGCTGTTTTCCATACAATATATGCGCCAACAATGGCGCCTCGCGGCTGGAAACTTAGGCAAATCGGTGATACAAAGAAATGCGCGTTATATTCACGCGCATCGATATCTCCATTGATACTGCACGATTGCGACGAGAACGGGTCATTTATTCTTTTTTCAACAATTTTTACCTTGACTAGAAACGAAGCGTAAAGAGAAATCGGTGATCAATTCTTAATTGGTCAGGTGGAAATCTTATTACTTATTACACAGCTAGGTGTTTTGCATTCTCATGTAAGAAAAACATCTCAGTAAGTAACAATTGATTAAAAGTAAAATATTCTAAAAATATTCGTAAGGTTTCTCAGACCCCACCTGACCAACTAAGGATTGAAAAGGATGAAATGTACTTAATATTCTAAAATGTACAGATTATATCGTCCTTTTAGTTTAATTAATCGAGAATTTCTTTCAATTATTAATTAATAAATTGGTACACAGTTTTGAATATCTAACTGCAAGGAAAATACACATTTAGTCTTGAAGATATTCTACTTTCTATCTATTATGAAGAATGTCTGATCAGAATGTTACACGATTCCAAGAAGACATCTTCAATGATCAGACCCGTTCCTTGTCAAGGTCACTTGTTCGATAAATTCTATAATTTATGTTTTTCCATAAATCCATGTTAATAGCTGTGCCAAATTTCCCTGACCAAATATATAATTACAAATTAAAATATAAGCTTGGGTCAAATTGACTCGAACACTACACGAGGGTTAATTGAAATCAACCACACCCTTCTACGTATCTTCCTAAATCGTTAAATACTAATATTTCGCTTCCACAGATGACATTGTCCATCTATCAGAAGATTTCCTAGCAACAGTCCTCGATCCACGGTGAGATCGCCACGAACAGTTTTCCACCTGCGATTTCGCATCTATTTTTGGCGAACGTAACAAGCAACGTTTCGCGTGTACTCGCGAAATGACTACATTGTCCCACATATGGCTCTTTGTATCGAATCGGTGAAAATGTAGTAAGTAGTGTTAAGCAGGAAAATCGCCGGAAGATACAAGGTATTAATTCATGCAAATTACGGTCGACCGTCACGGCGATCAGGCCGCGCGAAAGAGACGAACGAAAGGAAGGGGGATTAAAAAAAAGGAGGATAAGGAGAACGTCTCTGGCTCTCAGCATCAGGTTCAATGTCGACCATTACGTGCAGAATTACGCGGAACTGTCCGAAGGCTATCTTTAACACCGTTTCGAACCTCCTCGGTGACGATCGAAGACCATGAATTTTCCTGACCGGCAATTAAGCCCTCGTCTCGTTTGGTACTTCCGTGTACGGTGCATCCGGAAATCAAATATGTTATTTGGATGCTTGATGCAATATTGAGGTACAGTATGACAATGGACATTTTTATAATGAAGTGTATGCAAATATGTTCGAATAAGCATCTTGAGCACCTTATGAAATAAGGGGTTCGTCAAGATGTTTACAACGATCGTCTCCAATGACAGTATTAATAATATGACAGACACTGAATCATAATATTCACTGTCTTCTAAATGTGAGGTGTATCAAGAAGTAATCCACTATTCCTATTTAATAAACTGGTATAACAGTTTAAAGTTAAAACATTTTTCTACCCTTTTCGTCATTCCAAATAGTGTCGAGAGTGAGAACAAATATCACTGGAACAGTATAAGCTTCTGATTTGAGAGCATGTGAAAGAATATAGTGGATTACTTATATTCATACACCTAATATGACAGGTTTCCTACTACTTTTAAAGAAGTTAAATTAGAACATGTACAAGCTTACGTTTTTTCTGAAAATAGCGGAGAATGTTGGTGAACTTCAGCATCTTCAATTATACGTATTAACTCCAAGAAAAAAGTAATACGTTAGTGGTATGAATAATGAATATACAGAGACATTCAAAACAAATTAAAATTCAACAGAGAAGAAGTAGAGTTTGCAACCATTATCGATTTATCCGAAAGACATAGTAAAAAAAAATAAAAGAAAGGTCTGCAAATGTTACCAAGTATGTATTAGTTCTAGCAATGAATCCACTATTATAATATTTGATAAAATTAATAGTAATCTCTATGAATCTTGAGAAAGCTTCATTTGTAGGTATTCAAAATAGTTTTCAACATCCTACATCATTTTTATTCTATATCATTTTAAAGATCTTTACAACATAAAATAATATCGTCTCCTAACATACAAAAATGATGAGTTATTTATTGTAACATCCGATACTTTATTTCTTTCACTTCTTCCTCAGTTTTTACCAGAGTCCCTCGGATCACCACTCAAAAATCGTTGTAAAATCACCGAAACTTTCAGAATATACAATTAACAAAGTTAATTCTTGAAACGAACTAAATATTCCAATTTACCAGCCATGACTGTTGCTAATGCATTTTCGGTAATTAACCATGAAAACGAAGTGTCTTTCGTGTCGTTTACCGTATGCTAGAATTACGAAACAGTGGTCGATGCGACAGATTCTGAATAGGACACACCTAATTCCCTTCTAACGTTCGTTTACGTAACGATACCGTATACGGACGGCAGGACGTTGTGCATCGAAACAGTATCTCGGGACAACAAAGTTCGTTGATTCTTATGCCCAAGCCTCGTGGTATATCGCTAGGGTGAAAAAAAGACGCGTTGGGCAACGAATGGCAGACGACACAAGAGACAGCATATTAATCAACGAGGTTGTTATCAGCCCTTCCGGGAAGCGTGGTGTCCGGCGAACGATACGCCTGGCGAATTGATAGAAATGCAGTGCAAGCTGCGCTTTATCGATATTGCGTGTCAGTCGACGTACAAACGCATCGTATTAGCAGGAATTGAGCAGCAAACGATTGAGAAGAAACATTTGATGGAAAGCGTTCGATGAGGTGAAATTGTGAAATCTTCCGTGAATGGACGGTGAACAGTGTGAACAGATAGATTGATGATTATTGCAAATATTTAGGAAAATGTTAAGTTGTATTTAGAAATACTGGAACTGAACAGATACTAACATTTCTGCTCATACGTATTAGGACAGTCGTCAAATATGCAATAAATGTTGCAAGGTATTAGGAAATTGTTGAAAGTCTGAAATGGATAAAGTTAAGGGGATACATTAACCGTCCGAAACCACACTATACGAATTTGCACCAGCGATACGTGGTTTCGTTTGTAACATTCTATCGGACTAGCGTAACGGTTTCAAATTTTCGTAGTTAGAAAATTATTTGTCACTTTGGTAATTATTACCATGGAATTTCTTAGGAAATTTTACCCTAAAAAATTTGTTAAGAATTCAACTTGCTTTTAGTTTCTTCCAGTTCTTAATCATCAAAAATTCAAAATCCCAGTTCTCATTAATGTGATGTTTACGCATGTTGGGGTGGGGGGTGATTTCTACAGGTTAATGCTCGATGGGCAACATTTATGCCATGATGAAATAATAAACGTGGTCTAAGATATGTAACTTTAACTAAGTGTTCGTATGATCGATAGTGTACACAATATTCTCCATTAAGGATTTACCTAATTGTGATTTGTAAGCAAAGAATTTATTGAAACTTCATCGATGTGTAATGACCACTTTAGGTTACAGTGATTTGCATAAATTAAAATAACATTCTGAACTGTTAGGAAGTAATTACTTCTTGATAATAATACGAAACGGTGTAAATATCAGGTCAGAGAGTTTACCGTCATCGCATTGAGGTAAGTAAAAAACATATTCTGTGAACATAGATCTGCAAATGAATTCTGATGATGTTGACACTTTATGCAAGCTCTAATCACTTCATCGCGAATCAGTAATTTGAAAATATCCACAATACAGAAAGTAAAATTATCATTGATCTATAGAATCGCAAGAAGCTTCTTTCTAAACACGAAAGGCCAAAGTACACCACACAGGAATGTTACTACCGATAGTGTATATTTGCTAAAATACGCTGTACGGTATAAAAATTCGAATACATTAAAGTATTTTGCGCTTAACCGAGTTTTGAACGTAATATCTCCTGTAATTTGTTAAGTCCAGGCATATTTATTTCTTGATAGCCGGGGATCTCAGCTTCGCATCTTTGCACCCAGTCCTTCACGTTCGGGTAGTTGTCCAGATTAAGAAGAGCCTTAGAACCATGAAAAATAACATATTGTTATCGCATCAGAAATTAATCGTTTATCTATTATTCTAAACTCTTTATCTGGATAACTAGTTTGCTCATCTGCCTCGAAGTGTTCGTATTGTGTCGTTCCATTTGAAACAGACAATTTTCTCTATAGGTATATTTGATGTTATCTTTATGAATGAAAAGTATTAACATAGTTACTTTTTTTATTGCGAAATTACGCAGTGTGCTGTATTCATTTCAAGGTACTACCAACAATGATAATGAGTATTCAAATAATGAAAACTTCATAAACATGCATCTACATAAGGTTCTGTTGAGAAATATTATTTAGTGATGACAAACTTGAGCGTAAAGATACCAAGCAGTTAATAGTGCTTTTCGAATTCTTATATTTTATTTCTTAATAATGAAATATAAATACACGTATATTTCATTGGGAAACGTGTGTAAAATATATTTAATTTTACTTTGTCTAATAAAATTCGTATAATTCGTAAATAAATTCGTATACATTTCTAGTGCAACGATCTAATAGAATATTGAACTTACGATACCACCGGTGGCGGTGACGACGCAACTGATGTCAGCGATAGTGTAGGAATCACCCACGAGCCACTTCTTACCCTCCAGAAGCGTGTTCAAAGATGCATACGCATTCTTCACTTCGTTCATCGTCTTCTCCGAAACCGATTTTACTCCTTCCCGAAAGATCGGTCTCTGTACCAAACGAAGAGAACAATTATCAAAAAAAAGAAGACAATTAGACAATGACATAAAAAGTCTACTATTTATTTCACTTCGCATAATTTTTCGTTCAGTCACTTGCATGCAGATTCAAGAAATATTTATGTGGACCAACTTCGTCCAAATTATAGAGATTCTTATATTAGACAAATTTTCCTTATCCACCACCAGCTTCGATTGTAGCACAAGCGAGATATAAGGATAGACCCAGCATGCAATGTAATTTTCTGTCACCTGCATTTCAGTATTCCATTCCCTGTTAGCGAAACCGGGGCAATAATGTATGTATGTGTCGCTGTATGCAGTCACGGGTGTGGGTGTGCTGTGCGTTATCACGGTGTCGAACGTCGTTCCTGAAATCGGAAACTTTTACTATATTTCGTGAGACACTAATTGTAAGTCCCATAAGATGTTAGGTCTATTCTTATATCTCGTCTGTGATTGTAGTACGCTTGCTAACACAGTAGACCCCATTTAATTGACGCAGGCTTGGGTCCGCGTCACGACAGTTATCAAGACAGATAGGTATTCTAGGAAAGGCTAGGACATTGAGAAACATTGAATGAGAGTGAAACAGAGAGCAAGCTTCTACGCAGGCTTGGGTCCGCGTCGCGACAGTTATCAAGACAGATAGGTATTCTAGGAAAGGCTAGGCAGGAACAGCTGTTTTACGATCTGCAGAACAGACGTGGACTCTCTCCGTGGAAGCAGTTCCAGAAATTGATGGGAATAAGTTCGCCCCAATTAAATGAGGAAAAATGTGTCTATTAAACGGAGACTACCATAGTATTAAAAGACACTTGAAACAAAAAACAGGCATAAATGCCAGTTATATTCATATTTCCATCAGTCTCTGATTACAGACATTAATTTCATAACAGAAACTACTCAACCTAAAAATTCAAATTGAAACACTTCCCACGACTTCGACAAAATTCTAACAGGTTCCTCGTGTCTTGTTCACGAAGCACAATAATTCCCAATAAAACGGACATATCGAACGAAAGAAAAGGAAGGAAACGGAGGCGATTAAAAAGGCATGAAAAGAAGTGTGACAAAAGTGGATGCTCGGAAAGAGAAGCATCCAGCCAATTGGTGGTTGTAAAAATGTTTTACGAGCGAACCTTTCTCTGTGTTGCGTTTAATTTCGAATAAGATCCTTCACGCCTAGCGCGTCCGGTTTACGTAGGAACACGGTCTAAACTGGCATCGGGTCCCTCGCTTCGAAAATGTAAGACACGGAGAGGATCGTTTAAAAATTTCACGACACCCGGGCCACTTTTCTCGCGTAAAATTAGTTCGAGCCGGCTGCCACTTCGAAGCGTACGGGCTGAGGGTGTAAGGAACGAGTCCGTAGTAGTTGGCCCCCGTCACGGGCAAAAATGCCGCAGTTAGCCGACTTTATTAGACGTCGTAAAAGGCAGACAGGATGCCCGGGGAACTTTCTGCCTCTATCGCACATAACGCCTCCTGCGCGCCTGTACTGTATATGGTACGCGGGAAAGCGAATCGCATTAACCTCCTTTCGCCGCGGCTTAATTGGCCAGCCACCGATGGACCGACTATGCCTTTTGCGGAAAGCCCATCGACTGAGAATACGGGAACGAAACAGATCGCGTAAACGAGTCGTAACTGATCCACGATCGGTCCACTTGACGGTGATCGATGATCAATCGGTCGAGAGCTTATCGGGATTGCTTACTTTGGCGATCTTGCGGGTGTTGGAATGAAAATCGTTTTAGGAAGATGGGTCTGGTATAGCCCTACTGCTGGGTGTTTAGAGGCGGCCTTTTCCAGGAGGTAGTACATTAATGGGAGCCAATGACATGTGGGATTTCGCCGTAGGTCGGTCGATGGATCAATTGTTGACTACAGGAAGGCGACAGACAGTGGGGTGCGCGCACGTGTGTGTAATGCATGTGAGCTGGAACGTTCCTAATGCTACTTTGAAGAGCAGTATTTTAGGGGTGAGTCTACTGCGCCAAGGTGGGAACATTATTATTCGTTTAGGTCAGCACTGGACAGCTAGAAGCTCCAGACACGCTTGCTTCTCCTTCCAACCGTGTTTTCGCGACGTGTGCCTTCGTGGATACAAAGAAGATCAAACTCTTGTCTCTGTTGCTCCATGGAATCGCGGACGGTGGTGGGGACAGCGTTTAGCTCCCGGAAGGGGGACTTGCCCAGCGCTGGTTTAAGTGAAATTATGCCTGTTAGCGTCAATAACGTGTTTTAAATGGAATTGACAGCGAATAGTCTGTCATTGTTTCGCCTTCGAAGAATTTATTATAAGGAGTTAGGCTGTGCGTGGTTCACTGGGAGAGAGGGAACGAGACTGAACAGCCCTGATGTCACGCAGTGGTGATGACCAGGTTGGGTCCTTCAACTGTCGACTGTCATTGGACTTTTTGTTTGGAATAGATGATTGTTAGCTGTGGCGAACGGTGTTACATTAGAAATAAGGATATTGTTCTTGGAAGAACTGTCCGCACAGTGAGTAAAATAAGGGTAGAGGACTAAGACTTCTGAAAGAGGACTGTGTTGGGAAGTTCATAGGAAGTATAACAGTCCTAATTCAAATATTCCGACATGCATGAGGTTTTTTTTGCGGCAGAGATGATAGGAGAGGAGCATGATGTGTAGCTTCAATAGGTATGTTTATTGCTGGGTCTGTTAGTGGACTCATTGATGAATGTACCCAGTAAACCCTATAGACACACGATTTCCTAGGACACCTTAGTAATGAAAATTATTGAACAATTACTCACCAAGGCAGTCTTCATGGTGGCGAAAAATACAGATGCGTCAAAGAAAAGGTGCTGATTAACTAGCGCGCGTTTCTTTATATCCTTAGGGTATATGTCGTCGTTGTTGGCGTATTTGTCTACCAGATAGGTAATAATAGCATGACTGCAAGAAAAATTCTCATAAATGCCAGAAGCAGCGGAACCTATGGTCGAAGTTCACGAATAGTTTCATCGTTTACCTGTCCGAAAGGAGGAAACCATTGTCGTCTATGGCCGGAATCATACGTTGGGGGTTGATCTATTAAGAAGAGGAAATAGTTAGAAACAATTATGTTCACTCTTTAACCCTCGGATTACGGACCGTTAAACTGTGACCCATAATACGATTTTCCAGACACGTAGATAGAGAATGTTTCACTTATCTAGATTATCCAAAATATTGCATAGACGAAGTACAAGGCCAACTGAACTAAAGATATAAAAACACTTGTAGGATATATTATCAATGGCATATACAGTACTGAGAATAAACACTTTATTACTTATACCTCTCTCATCATTAGTATACTAGGAAAATTAATTAACACAGATATTTATTGCAAACATGTTTGCTGGGTACGAATCGTTTTTCAAACGAATTGCCATGCACATTGTGCGTCCTATGTAAATTCGTAAGTGATGTAAAAAAATATTGTCTAAACAAAATCGAATACAATCTCTATTAATGTGAAAACTTGCTTTCTGAAACACTTTCTGTATGATCGAGTTAGATGAAACACCCTGTACACAAAACGCTATTCGTTTGCTCGCTGCATAAACAATCCGGTTATTGTTCTCGTTAATGTGTTACCCATGACCCGACCATAGGATCGCGAGGGTCAAAAAAGTATCTTATATATCATCCAAAGAATTTCTTCTTACTTTCACGAATTCATCCTTCGTCTGATCGTGGTTCGTGAGGTTTATTTCGTGAATATTCAACGGAAGATCGATTACATGGGCCACCAACAGGACTGAACGGCATGGCGGACTGATATCGTGAGAGTACAAAGTGACCTTCGACATTTTGTCTTCGGGTATTTCTGCAAATAATACTAATTCATTAAAATGTCTTCTTCGCTAATACACGTATTCATTTATAATGTTATACGTATCCGGAGAATTTAATTGATTGTCTTTTTCAAATATACGACATGCAATAATTAATTGCCCACTTGAACTTTCGTGTATTTTATTTCCCTGAAATTTCATTTAACGATCCTATTAAAGAAGTTCACAAATAAGATGAGATCACTATTTAACCGCAAAGAGTATTTACGTTATACGTATAAATATGAAATTACTGTTGTTGGTGCGAATGGAGCTGTCGTTTTAAGGCTAAACTAATCTTTTTCAAATATAAGTATTTTGATATTTCCTTTATAGATAATTCAAAAATAGATCTGTGGCTGATATGAGATAAAAGAAAGCGGAGAGAAAAGAGTGAAAAAAGTAGCGTTTCATTTTACATTTATTAATGTATAAAATAATACGAAGTGTGACAATAAAGTTTCGAGAATAATTCGTTTAAAAATTGTATTTTGAAAATTGAACAGACGCGAGGCTATCGCCTTCAAAGTGAACCCCTTGAGACACAACACACAAATTCCAGTTGTTTACCGTTCACATACAGTTTGAGGGGTGATCAGGTCACACATCGGGGTGTCGTGACCGTTTAGATTATTGTCACTGGAAACGAAAGTACTCTCGAAACTTTATTGTCATAGCTTGTATATGGTTCCATTAAAAACGATGGAATTAAACACGAAATATTTTAAATATTTGTAACTCTAAGACGAATTCACAGGACACGTTCAAAACTACTTAATTTAAAATAAAAAAAGCTACAACTTAAATTTTGAGAAATGCTGAAAATTAGTTACACGCGACACCTTCTATACTCGATACAGTACAACGAAACATATCTGATACGATAGATGTAACCAACGTCTACATTAGCTTTCCTCTCTTCATTTCTCTGCTGCTAGATATGCTTATGTATTCTAATGTCTGCGTGATATACACGCAAGAAAAAAGAAGACAGTCAACCGCAGACGTAACAGTAGTTCTGCGCTGTCTGTCCATGTTCAACCCTGTGCTACTGTCATTAAGTGGTGGATGTAAAATCGGTCTCCGTTTCATTCCAGTTTTTTTCTGTCACTCCGTATCATCTTACGTTTCACACTTGCTGCAACCACTCCGTAAACTTTGAAATTTTACCCCTCGAATAACACAGTCGTAACTCTTACCGGAGCACTTCCGGGGATTTTCGATCGCTCCTTCGTTTTCTTGTGTCGAATGGAAAATGAGTTATAGGAAATTTCAAATGAATGAAAGAAGAGCTGACAGGTGAGTCAGGTAAAAAGAAAAAAGCTGGTTCTAGAGGATTACGATGATTAGAATTTTCCGTGGTAAATTTAATACTGTTTGAATAATTACACAGAACCATCTTTGTCACGCTAGTACCACGATTTACCGCTACGCCCTGCTACGAAAGTCGCGGGTTAAACGTGCCTCGAATAACAATAAGGTGAAGAGAGCAAACACCAGATCACAGAATCGTTTTTATTGACTAGAGAGTCCGTGCCTGCTGCATCCTTACGTTATTACCATTTTTTCTCATTTAAATATTATCCGATTACCTACAGTATAAAAAATAATAAAAAAAATAATAAAAAAGTACGAAAGAATAATAAAAAAGTACGACCTTTCGAACGTTTTAGAATTCATCGTTTCATTTCGAATGATCAAATAGAATTACAAAATTTCTAGTTTCATTAAAATCAAACCAAACACATTTGACCTAACGAAATCCTACCGATTCAGTATCGTGTTCAAGCTGAAATCTGTTTTTTTTTAGATATTGCACTTCCTTTGTTTTAATAGTATCAAACTCACGACTAACTCGACCGTAACGTTAATGTATAACTCAACTTGTACCGAATATTTTCCACGCAGCAATCTGTTTATCATTTAAATATTAACACCTAATGTGATAAGTAATAGTAACAACACACGAGTAACGCTGCACGGTAACACTTGAAACCCGATTAGAAATACAAACAATCTGTGATTCTGAGCGTGGAGACGCTTTCTGTCAATATGTACCTGCCAAAATTTAATACGATCGACACTGTAGACGGCCACGAGAACACTGGAGAAATTTATACATGGCACGGGATCGGCCCGTGAAAGCGGCCGAAATCTGCAGAGCGGTTTGGTCCTCGATTATCAAACAGATAGAACCGACAACTCCAATATAAACCGAGTATCCATTGAACCAGTCGTATCCCGTTCTTCCAGGGAACACCAACGTAGACTCGATACTATTGCTCAAGATACGCCCATGGGCGATCAGTGCCGTAGCTCATCGTTCTAGTCTCGAAAGATTCCATCAGGCCTGTTGAACACGACCTTCTATGTATTTGTTTAAATTACTAATACTTTGATGCTGTGTATTTATCTTATTATTCTGCAATAAATACAGAAGCTAACGTTATTGATTTTAGTATTTATTAATATTATATAATTCTACAAACTCCAGTTATTCGAAACAGTTTTTAATTTCTACAACCTTTTACCAATTTTTGACAAAAGTTCACTTTCTTCCTCGATAAAATAACATAGAACCACAATACTAACTCAAATCCGACAGTCATGATTATAACATACACATAGTTAACGAAATATTTTAGTGTTTAATCTTGGAGGAATTTTACATAATTCAGATTTTCATCTCAATAATAAATAGCATTAACAAGTTATTTTATCAGATTTTATTTTTCGAAGTTCCTGCAAGATTTAAGACGAAATGTTTCGTGAACTATTGAACTGCTATACATAAAATCTATATCAATAACTTAATTACCTTTAGATCTATCACTGCATGCAATGCAAGTTTCATTTCTTAAAAAAGAACTCAGAAGAAGAAATGAAAAAATCACAGATACTATTGAGACTGTATTGCTCGAAATTTCTACATATGTTGAAATCTACTACACATAATGAATAAAAGAAAATATTACTAAACATGACTTTTTTGTACAGAATATTTGAAAATTTACTACAACTGAAAATAAAGTCAAACATTTAGATATGATTTATCAGATCTCTTTACCAGCATTTCTTCCATCCGCTGTAGATCGCCTTATTGAATGAACTCCGCCCTGAAAATGCACATCGAAGATTCCACGCTGGTCCACCTACCTGTTGCACTGCTCTTGCTACGGCACTGGACCACAAGTCGACAACGATCACTTATTACAATCGTGTATCATCGTTGGTTGCGCCATCATGGAGAATAATATCGCGTATCATAATACGTTACGCAATGTCTCACGGATAGATCCACGACTCTTAACGCCAACTGTTCATGATAACACACGCTATCCTAAAAGAAGAAAATGCAATTCGAAAAAAAAAATCTCTTTAATAATTTCATACAAGCAAATATTTACATAACACAACGAGATTGTGAATATTTACATTTATATAGCTTGATAAAGACCTTGTAATTTTTAGTAACAAACCGGGTAGAAAGCATTTGTTTCGTAAAAACTGGAGTACGTAGACTGAAATCGATCGCGAATAGATCATTCTGTCGATCATCAATTGTGGCACAACTCGCGACACCTAGCGTCTACATTACGAATCACCATCCCTCGAAAACGATCATTAACGACATCCGTCGGCGACCCCAGGAACCGCAATACCAAAACGTCAAACACATTCAAAATCTCGAACAATTTTTACATTTCTTTTTCGATATCGAATCAACGATACAGTTTCTTTTCTAACAGCAGTATCACTTTATATTGCTTCACAGATGCCTTTGTGTAATTTACAATGTCATCTACAACAATTTCGAATGTATTCAACGGGATATTGGACGCAGATAATAAATTTATATTTCTGTTTGTTTCGCGGTTTAGTAACTGAATATACTGCAATTGAGAAAACGCGGATGGAATTACAGAATATGTCGATTTAGATCAGGCGTAAGATTTCCATTGCTTTCGAATCGAAGATTAAAATTAAAATTTTTTTCGAGACGACGGTCCTGTTGGATTGTGTTGGAATAATTGCCGGAGATGACAGGCGGGTTTGTATGGCGGCTTTCGTTCGTAGAAATGTTTAGGGAAGCCATGATCTTCGATCGTTCATTCACATGCCCTCGCTCTTGGAAATATAAGAGGCATAGTTTCATGAGTGCGGTGGTCATTCAGTTTTTAGTCGTGGCTTAACCACCTCGGCGACAGCATGTGTCGCTTCTTGCCTCCCTCGCACAACCGAGCAGTTCGCTGAAACCCAACGAAATGTCCACGTAAAAGGGATTGTCCTTCGATCGAAGTATCAGTGGAAATTATTTGGAATTTTTCATTCGGTTTCGAAAATAAACGTAATCATAAGATTGAGGAGCACCGTTGAAGACAGTGTCCCGTACGAAGTTTCTTTCTATTTTAGTTGTTATTATTGTTGATTTGTGGAAAGCACAGCTGCCGAAAAATGGCCTGCCCCTTATCGGATGGCATTCCGTAAGTAATAATTAATTAGATATCGTTTCACCGACCGATTTGCGATTAGGGAGTTTGCAAACATAATAAAATTAAATCGAATTTTTGTTTGATAGTTTTCCTTAAGTTTGTAAATGAAGGATAGTAGACTTCCGTTATCCAGCAATTAACACTCGTTAAAATGGGTCAATTATTAACAGAATAATTAACAAATATTCAGGGAAATTGATTTCGTCGATTTTGATATATCGATAAGCTACAAATCAACGTTAATTGATAGTAATATGTAATGATTGATAAATTTCTAATTAGTGCCAAATAGTGGTTGTAATTACAATTTGGAACATTACTGGGAATAAATTACTCGAAATTAATAGTGATAATTTTGATAAACATATCAGTGTGGAATTAATATATTAATTGGCCATTTCGGTTAAAAATGATAAAAAAATCTTTTAATTTATATTGATAAAAATTCTTGGGTTATCAGAGAGCAGCATGGTCAAGAAAATGATCAAGTGACCGAAAGCCCGGGTATGCTGTACGGTGAATATCTTCGATTAGACAAAATCTTAACTGCCCAAAGATTGTTGAGCGCCGAGTACAGCAAGGAAGTGCACGACGAACATCTTTTTATCATCACTCATCAGGGTAAAAATGTCAATCTTGTTGCATATCGCCTTAAATTATTACAGTCGACAGATATATTTTCTACAGACTAGTAAAATGAAGATCGTTAACTATTGATTTGACATTTTTCATAAATTTACAACCCATTAGGGACAGAAAAAAATATTTCCTTCCTGATCTTTTTGGGACCCCTGTGATATTGACACCCAAACTGCGCATCTTGTTGCATCTTCGAGGTAATCTACTCCAAGGGGCACACTCTATGTATATTTTCATTTATAAATATTGGAACTATTACTGAATATGAAATAAAAATAGCAAAACATTATAAAATTACTGAATCGAAACTTTAAATTTCTGAAATTATAACATCGATTTATTAATATTGTGATTGTTTATATTTTAATTTTAATGATGTAATAATGAAACCATTCTTATTTGCTACTTTGTTTAATTCTGGTTGGAATATATTACAAACATACTGTTCAGCGAATATAAAAGCGCAACAAAGTGACGACACTGGTGTGAGGTCACTAATTTCTCTGAAACGTCACATTTCTCATATTCAGAACAGGTGCCCTTAACTTATGGACCGTAACGTACACGTCACTCATTCAAATTAACCATCGTCCAATAAATTGTTGCATTACTATTCCTTGAATTAAACTTAGTCTAAGCTAAAAACAAATCAAGAAAAGTTACTTACACATCGTTTATTCGTTATATATAGAAGGTGTTTCCAAAATGGTGGTACAACCCGAAAGGATGTGATTCTAGATGCAAAAATAAGTTGAAAACGTGAAATAACATTTTTTCGTACGATGCCTCATTTCCAAGATAATAAATTTTCAAAATTCTTCTAACGCGTATAGTATATGCAATAAGTAGAAAGAGAACGCAATGAACAGACGCGTTAGCCAAGTTCTATTCAACTGCACGCGTATCCAGCAGTATTCAAATTCGATTTTCTCGAAAACGAAACACACAGCTACATTTTCGACTTATTTTTCCATGTATAGAATCACAACCTCTCGGGTTGTATCAACGTTTCGGAATGACCCTGTATAAGCCACTGTTGTCAAATTAATTTAAAAGTTTCACCGACAAAGAATACAATGAAAAATTAAAATCTGAGTTTGGGTTAAATTGACCGGAAACACTTCACAAGATCCGTAGAGAACGAGAAGCCTATATATTATATATAGACCCCAGAGGGGTCGCTTATTTTTCGTACTATGGGACTATGACAAATATATAAAAAATCTAACTGGAAAATATAAAAAGTCCTGAAAAAATATGCCCGTTCTTTCAAAATTAAATAACAATTCCAAATAGCCCAACGATCAAATCATTCTCCTAGACCGTCCCACCGACAATAATCCAATAAAAATGATGCTTATCGAATATGTTTTGCTGTTCGTACTGCAGCGTACGAGCTATGGTTCAAGCAGATCATCTACGAGCTAGACACGGTCAAGGCGCTCTTTAACCCCGAGCCGAGCAGCTACGACCCACCATCGTTGAATGGTAGCTCCAACAACCGTTCCGTCCCGAAGAATCGTCTCCCACAGGTCCTGAACGAGTCGAGGACCTTGGAGATCCTGAAGAGATTAAATCGCATCGTACTCATTCTGAAAGTAAGCGAGATCTTCCAAAAATCCCCGTGTTAGACGATCTCCATATTTTCATGGCCTCTAACAATAGCCAGCCGCTGCTGACGGATACACGGAGAAAAATGCTGTCGAGCGATGGTTTGTCACTTGGGCATCGAGAACGCATCGCGGGGGTAACCCTACACCCGGGAAACGAGGCCAGTAGCCATACGTTGACAATGACAGTGATGGAAGGAATGTGAACGACCCTTAATCGCAAGCCAATTAGAGCCATTGCGATTTATGACAAGGGTGCTGATCCGTCGCGGTGACTCTAATCGAATTTCTTTGAAGTGTCGCTCCTCGAGGGATTCGCAGGCGCCCTATACTAACCGTCCTAAGGTACAGGATGTTTAAGAAAAAGAAAGACAACACCATTCGACATTCGTATCGAGAGCACGTAACACGAAACCACAGAGACACTGTCATTGCGCAATGTGTTATTTACTTGCTGAGCATTCTCGATCGTGAAACTGTTATCGGAACTATGATCCGACTTTTTTTTCAAACATGCTGTATATTGGTCAGGGTCGTAGCCGTCGATTTCGATACACGTATATAATTCTAACGGGGACAGTTAACAAACGTTTTTTAACATTTTTTTTTTTTTTTTTTTTTTTTTTTTTTTTTGTTATACTGTTACCATCGACTTCTTCCCTTCCCCCCTCCTTGGCTGCGACCCCGTTCATGACGGAATAGGAAAGATTGTGGGAACTGCAGAAATAACAGCGGGCACCAGAGTAAGTTAATACCGCTAGATGACATGCGACACCCCGCCCTGACACGCATAGATGCGTTAGGTAACAGGCTCGTCGCTCTGATCTTTTCCATACCACAGAATGCAGGTGTGGTGGTCGGATTTTCTCGTCTCGTACCCACACGGAAAAATCACCTTGCAGGGTTAAGTAAGCGCCCAGAACCGTAGTTACGATCCACTGTCGAGATGTACGATCCGAGAACATGCAGTCGAATTGTCTTCGAAATTGAAATTTTCTATCGAGATAATAGAAAGAGGGATGAAACAATTAACACGATCACTTTTGGCGCCTATTTTGGCTGACTTTCCAATCACGTTGATTGTATTATTTGATATTGGGATTTGTATCGCATGACGGTCACTGGTGACCGACGTAGCGTGAACGGAATGTTCTGTGTCGGTCACCAGTGACCGATGTAATGGTAAATGTGTTAATCGTTTCATCCCTCTTTCCATTCTCTTGATAGAAAATTTCAATATCGAAGACCATTCGACTACTTATTCTACGAGTCGTATATTTGAGAGAACGACGGTTCGGTACTTTATACCATAAGTCTAGATAAGATTTATGTATATTGTTATTTGAAATCGTAATGCGTGATGTAACATACAAAAAAGTAATGAAATTCCTTTTGATATTTTTGTTAACCGGTTCGCTGCTGGCGATATATGCGATCAAATAAAAAAGGTCTTTGTAAACATTGCTGATGACAATTTGACAAAAGACATTATTTGTGCAATTTGTTTTGACTCAATTGCTCAGACGATTTAACTTGTTAACTGGAGAAGACGAGTTAAATCGTTCTTTATATTCGCCTGTATTTTACAACAATTGTTCATTTTCTTGCGTCATTGTAACATATTGATTGTAGTTTTGCAAATTACATTACATTCACATTTGTTGCAAGACAAGCAATTTTCAACTGTGTAATAATTGTCAACTTCAGCTTCTGATCGCGCAGTTATCGAGTCCACTGGTTGATTATTATCGATCGAGTTGCAAGCATCACCTGGCAGCGAAAGAGTTGATACCTTTTGAAGAAGATACATTATGTTGTATAAAATGTAATGATAAAGTACAATCTGTGAAAAAACAATTGCCAAAACTAATGGTCACAGCAATCATATTAATCTATTTCAATTGATCTGTCTCCAATTTTCGTAATCTTCTACCGCGGTAAACTATAATATAGCGAACAGATAACATATCGCACCCTTTGCTGCAAAAGTGACATAACTTAAAAAACGTGTTTTTCGACTTATCACTATGATAAAGTTGCAGAAACACTGTTCGACCAATCATCAAATGTACAATTTGTTTGCTTCGTAAGTTAGCTGATAGTGAACAATTGTTTGCCAGTCAAAGTCAGTCCTTTGTAGTTTTTTTTTTTAAGAACTAATGTTTTCGAGTTGTGTCACGTTCGTAGCAAGGGTAGAATATATTAATGGTCGCCTGTTACCTGCGTAATAGAAGCGCAGGGGTGGCAACCATACAATTGCGGACGTGGGTGTCTTAGACGCGGGTAAGATCGATTGGTTGTCCATGTATAAAGACGCGTGCAAAGTTGCATTTTACTTTGATTTACTTGACACGATCGCTACCGCCATCTTCTTTGAGAACCGTACATCACAGGTCATGCTATTTTTCGAATTTTCCATTCATTGTAATTCATTTGCTTTTGTTCTTGATTAGACTTTTAAAATATATGAAAAAGAGACAATAGATGATGAAAATGATATCAGGAAGCGTAACATACGAAGAATGAACAAATTTTACGGTCTATCATGACAAGTTCAAGCGCCACATACCTTATTGACCAAAACTTTGGATGCAGTTGTACTATTAAAATTTATTTCTATTAGAATACGTACGAATAAGTATAGACAAATATAGTTCAAGAATTAAAAATCTCTCTTAAGTTTCACTTACTTACGTTATTTTACAAAAACAGAGGTACTTACAAAAGTGTTCTTACTGTTTCTTCTTTGTCAGCTTCTAGTGGAGCAAGTGACCATTCTAGAGACCATGACGCCCCTGGACTTCATGGCGTTCAGGGACTATCTGTGCCCAGCCTCGGGGTTCCAATCGCTCCAGTTCCGTTTATTGGAGAACAAGCTGGGCGTGAAGCAAGAGCATCGAGTGAAGTACAATCAAAGTTACACCAGAGTCTTCGGAAGGGACCCGAAAGCGATCGAGGCGATCAAACGTTCGGAAGAGGAGCCGAGTCTCAGCTGCCTGGTTCAAAGATGGCTGGCGAGGACACCAGGTCTCGACAGCCACGACTTCGACTTCTGGGGAAAATACAAACGATCCGTGGATAAATTATTAGCCGAACAGGAACAGCATGCTCGTGTAACCATCTACTTATACGTTCGAACTTTTACAAATTGTTAATAAGGACCAGATTTAATAAGTCTTCGATGATACCATTCGTTTCGTAGAAACAGACGAAGGAACAGCTCAGGAATTATCATCTGTCCAACGTACGTTCTCGACAAGCAGCCTTCGAAACGATCTTCAGTGAATCCCTTCACAATGCGTTGGTATCCCGAGGAGAAAGGAAATTTACGTACGCAGCCCTTCAGGGAGCTGTGATGATCACTTTGTACCGTGACGAGCCGAGATTCAGTCAGCCCCATCAGATCCTGACCTCGTTGATGGACATTGACTCCCTTATTACGAAATGGAGGTGTAAGAAAATACAATAATTCTGTATATTCATTTATAGACTCTGGATGTTTATGCAAATTCACCATTTTAGGCATTGATTTTGCAAAAATGAACATTGGCCAGAAAATTATTTTCTTTACCAGGTGCTTTATCATCAGCAATGATAACGTATAAATATCATCCAACCTTATTAAAGTGTTTATTTCACTGTATTTGCCAACACAAGAAATACTATAAATGCATGAACATCCGCAGTCTGTTCATATATATATAAGATTGTGAAAAGTACATTTACTGACTATCTTCTAGATAATCATGTCCTGATGGTACAAAGAATGATCGGGTCCCAGCAACTCGGAACTGGTGGATCTTCCGGCTATCAATACTTAAAGTCCACATTGAGGTAATGTATACTGGTGTACATTCATTGAGACATGAGATCTACAGGGTATCCCAGCTGAAGAAGGCCACTTAAATATCTCCTTTATTGTTAATGACATGTGAAATGTTTAAAATAATTTCGAAAGAAGAATGCGACAGAAAAAATATATACTTCCCTACAAAAAAAAATACCGGTGATCTTGAAATAAGACAGAAAAAATGTTTCATTCACAGTATTTCTGTTTTAAAACCGTTCGAATTGTGCTTTAAACATTTCTCATACCATTAAAAAAAACGAGATATTTAGGTGGTCTTCCTCAGCTAGGACGCCCTGTATATTACGAGGAACTTTCTGCTTTCGTTTTAGAATATACATAATACATATCCAATCATGAATATTGTTATGTCTGAAAATGTTGCATACATAATAATTACGCACTTCGCTACGTGTGTTACCTTATAATACCATAAATGTAGTGTACGTAGATCGTTTGAAAAGTTCTCGAAAGAAAATATAGATGGCAACAGTAGTTCTACAATTTTTAACCCACCGGAGATTTTCATTTGTTACATGAATAAGTGTAACAGTTACTATACAACTGTTTGAACAAAAGTTTAGAACATTGGTCTATAAAATTGAAAATCGTTTGTCCAAATGTTTGGAAAAATCTTAAAGCGGATTATATGTGAAAAACAGAAATATTTCAATAACAATGTTTACGTTGTCTTTCCACTGTATTTCGTAAACTTTTCAAATAACGTATTAAGGTTCTATTGATTCTTAATATTTATTCACGAGCTCTAATATTTCGTAATGCTTTTTCAAATCTTCTCCACATTCAGTAAATGTTCTAACATTTATGAACAAACGTACAATACCAATTTTGCTAAGAAGATAATACACTATTATTAAAATAATAATTACTGTTGAATATATAGGGCTTTATCATACCGACAATAATATGCAATTCCCCAGAATCGTTTCGCAATGTATACTTGCGTTTAGATTGAATTTATTATTAGAATTCTTGCTGTTTTTATCTGCCACTTGAATGCCTTACAAGAACTTTGACATATTCAATAACGTCTTATTAGCGAAGGTCAATGTCAACAGTATGCAAAGAACAGACGTGACAAAATCGTGCTATTTTTTTACTCTTAGAAATCGTATATGTTCGTATCTGTGTCGGTTCCCTGATTATTAATCAGAGAATTCCAGATATACAATCAACATGCATGTTTCGATAACAGTGACAGATACAAGGTATTCCTGGATCTGTTCAACTTGTCCACGTTCTTGATACCCCGTCAGATGATACCGCCATTGACGAAGCAAATGAAGACGAAATTGTCAATCGCCTGTAACGGCTGGAACCCGGACGACAATCAAAACAACTCCGACTGCACCCTCGAGGACACATAAAACGATAGACGCGTCTCAATAACGATAACGCGCATAATATGTTTCCCAGGAAATGTGCAACAGATAAGTACGTGAAAGAAAAGAAAAAAGAACAAATGGCAAGAAGCGAGTTATAGGGACAATAACTTAAGTCGTTTATTACAGGTCTGCTGCTTAGCACACATTAGAAAGTTTGTAAAAACTATAAAAAAATATCGCGTAGATAATCATACAAGAGAAATACTACTTGTAACAAACGCGTTTGTAACAAAATATCGCGGTGCGTAGCGTATAGTCGATGTTATTAATGTTATTGTCGTTTCGGATGGTACCTTGATTAAAAGCACTCTTATGAACTCTCTCTGTACATTTAAGCATTAATATAAATACTTGACTTCAAAGAAATCAGCGTAATGTCCTTTATTCCTATCTTATCTGCCACGCCTTACAAAACATCCAACGATGAGACCTGATTCGCTATACCTGCGAACAGAAAGTTTACCGTATTAATTTATGCATGACGTGCGTAACGGGTTTGCTGACACTATTCAGACATTCAGATCTCTTACAGTAAATATTTTGAACGGTAGAGAAAAGATGTTATAATGATGAAAAGCGTGACATTGTTTGTTCACGTTCGCTATGGATCACACCGTTTGGTTTCTCGATGACTCGGCAATACCTATATACGGACACAGACAGTTGACGTTGCGAATTGTTTCATGTTCCCGTTATTATATCTGTTCTGTACTTCATTAGTAATTAACTTGTCATTTAATACGATAATTAAAATTTAAACACAGTAGTTACGATCACGCCTAAATAACATTTAAAGTGAAGAACCAAGGTATTCGACATTTCCTGTACATCTGTTAGTACTATACTTCTGTAAGTATAATTAATAACATAGTCTTTTAGTATCACATTTTTACTGTACGAATACTCCTGCCCTTCACTATATGTAACAAAATTATACATTACAATAATCTATACAAAAATGAATTAAAAAGTGGGTGTGCATAAATATATGTTTTACACATTGTTTATCTTCCAACAGCAAAAACTAAAAGCGTGATTGTCCGAAACATTGATTATTTAAACACGTGATCGTTCGTGAGCAACACTGGTTCGTCAATGAAACGTCGGGTTTATGACCTGGTAGCGAACGTGTCAACATTTTATTTTGTCTCTCTGATTAATCGTACCGCATAAATTACTGCCTATCGCTATGTACATGTAGCCTTTATCACCGAAGCTCGTGCCCCACGAATTCTTAATAATATAATGAGGTATTTTGTCCGACTTGTCGTAACCGATGATTTGTACAGCATGGTTCAAGCTCTCGAAGGAACCGTCGCAGTGGTACTGTATCACTCCGCCCAAGTAATTTTGCCATGACAAAGCGTTGACCGCTGCCGCGACCGGTCCGTGTGTGGCCAGTGTCTCCAACAGCTCATCCTCCGCATCTACGAAACTAATGTCCGTTAAACCTTTAATCGCCTTAACGACAAACGCTGCAACTGATTATTACTCGTCGCTGGAAACGGCCACATTCGAGTTCATTAAGCTTAGAGAAGAAGAAATCTGTCGACCATCTTGACATCATGAATCGTTTAACTTTTAGACGGCGGTGTCTGAGTCCATTTTGACCCAGGATTTCAGACACCTCCCAGACTATTTCAGTTTATAGAAACTAGCTAAAACGTCACAGTTGTTTGGACGTAGATATTTTGAAGAAATTTGATCCAAAATAAATCTAAAGTTAGAGGAGTAGGGATCTATGTGGGCCCAGGTACCATCATCTATACGATCGTCAAAAACGTCTGTCTCCCTAAGATTAATCAATGATCGAAATTCGAACACAAGGTTAACGAACTTTAACTGACCGGTTTGGGTGACTTTCCAGTAGGATTCTATTAAGTGATTTAGAGGACGTCAAAATAGACCCTACTTAATATACTGACGTCTGATGAAGCCAAAAGTTTTACTACGGACACGGTGTTCGATAGATTTTTACATTTCATTCGGTTATTTTCTTTATACACTGAAAATGTGCACTATACTTTGATGAAGAGCAAAAATTCATCGGGATTTAACTGGTTTTTGCAAAAGAAAAATAGTGTCCAGCGAAGTTACACAAATTTTGGGACACTTACATTTAATTACAAGAAAACCTAGTAAAAAGACGAGAAAAGATTATAAACAGTGAAAATAATATACTGTTAGCTATTTATTAATAAAAACAATAGCCCAATAGCTTCGCTTCCATGAACCTATTTGTTCAAGTGTATAAATCTTACGAAAGCATGACGCTTCTTCTCCAACGTCACCACGTACTCATTAACGAGAATAATACCAACCGGTCAACTTATATAAGAAAACCTTTTACAGTTAATTACTCGCGAAGCAATCCAGCGATACGTTTCGCGTAGCTATTCTACAAATTAAACAACGGATAACCGTTCCTTCACTTCCAGCTATTAATTTCCGACAGTCCCGTCAAATATTTTTATATGTTCTAGACGCGATCAAATCAACATATTTGCGTTAATCTCGTGATCTAGGGTCACAGTCTCTTACCTATCACACGTGAAGTCTCTTATTCTCATACTCGGCCCGTTGTCCAGCGTCCTAAAAAATATTAATATGGTTCAGTGACTGTGTTCACGTGTCATCGGTGACCCAATATTAGGAAGACGAGGGTTAAATATGATCAACCGCGTGATACTTTCTGGGATGCTCGATATTTTCTTTTAACATACTTACTTCCCCAGCATGCACGTACCCGTCTTTCGCGTGAGTGGGTACGTGGATTCAAGAAGTATCCTCGCTTTCGTGAGCAGCAGCCACGAGAGCAAGCTGCAAATGTCTCCTCCTTCGCAGCCAAAATTACTGTTCCTCGCGCAGTCGATCATCTATCGAAGGAAGTATACAGATTTACGCATTCAAGTGGAAGAGAAAGTATACAGCTAATTCGGAACGGACGACATCGGTCACCGTGAAGAATTGATGACCTACTTCTTGGACGCTCAGCGAGTAGAAGGTGCCATTTTTAATCGTGAACATCGACTCCGCTACTTCGACGGTGCTGAAGGCCCAACAGGCGCCACAAGTCCCTTGACTCCGCACGGGGCCAACCACCCCTCTTTCACGCCAATCGAATTTCAACGGTATGCCGGTCGATCTTGTCACTCTATTGGTCATCTGCCACTGACGGTGGCATTGATGATAGGACGCGTTCACGTGTCTTCCTCCTAATGTATTATTTATTTATGTATAAGACACGTTTGTTCATCTTCTTCTGTTGGTTTGATCATATTCATTATATGATGATATCTAGGACCTTGTATGATTCACTTTAGACGCATGTATAGAGTATAGAGGATTAAGTATTTGGAGACAGTCAATGTTAAAAAATAATTTTGTTAGATCCTTGAATTATGTTGTAGGAACATCTATTGGGTTGGTGGGAACTAAATAGCCGATCACCATTCATGTCTACACTGTTAATTATTCCTTATGATTTACATAAATTGATCGAAACCCTATTCCACGATCTCTGATCATTGTCATTCTATAAAAAGAATCGAAGAAGCTTTGTATATTTGGAATTACAGCAAAGACAAATAGCAACTTTAACACATTCGAACGGCCAGTAATTTGCCATTAACATAACGTTACTTTACTTTATCTTAGGTTGTAGTAAGCTTTCGCGGAATATGCTTTTTATAATTATATGTTATTCATTTTGGGCAATATATTTACTGTACAAGAACCGAGCATGCCAATACATTTTATCGACTGTGGTAAAAATCGGTAGATTTGAAAATTTCTCACCTCTTTTAGAGAGGTCTGGGACGAGAGTTTGGGTGAGAAATTCATCTTCTGTCATATCGGAGTATGCGGTAAGCCCGTAATAGGCGCTCTCCTGTGACGATCGAAGGCCATTCATTTTTTCTATGTGCCGCAACGATCTCTGCAATAAGGACGCAGCTGTGTATAAGTGGTGTCTATCCGTTTTTGATTATGTAAAAGGCTAATTAAGTTTTCTGGTGTGTAATAGACGTTTTCAGTGTCTGCTATCTATCACTGTAACATTTCGCGAATTTTACTATAAAATTGTGCATATAGTACAATATTACAGTACAACACTGCATCTGTATAGTAGTATACACATACATGTATAGTAGTAATAACATGTTGATATATAAATATAGTAGAGTATCAATATAATATTTTAACACGACAGTTACTCTGTGGTTACAATAGTTGGTTACAGTAGTTGTTTTATGCAACTTAACGATATGTATGTATATAGGGAGTGGTTAGGTATAGCCATTTCAACCTAAAGATGCATCAAAACCGCAACACGTTGACGTAAAATAAAAAGAGTAGAATGTACACTATAAACCGTGAAAAAATTTCATGTGACATTTAACAATTGAAAATATGAAAATATTAGTCATCATTCTTTCTCTTTTAGTATGATAATTATATCCAACTACTTATTATATGCTGTAAGTATATAATCTTCTATAATCTACTCTTATATATCAAAATTTTATAATCTGTTCTTATTTATTGAAAGATGAAGATCCTTGAGTTTCCCGAAAGAAAAAATCAAATAAGAAGAAAAACAAAAGACAATCGTGAACGCGAGCGCGGGAAATTTTCAAAATTGCAACTCGTGAAGAGGATTATAACGAGCACTACTTAAACCGTACCGCGTCATGTGTTTATAGCACCTTATCAGGTACTCTCGTGAATCACAGTCTATTTTACGGCTCACCTGAAATCGCTTGAACCTTTCCTCGTATTCTTCGGGATCGTATCGGTAAGATTTATTATACTCCGTGATATAGCTCTTAAAAAGCTTAACATCCTCGCCACTGGTATCCTTCCCGATTCTGATCGGTATTGCCAGAAAGCATAGGCTCACTATCAACACCGTTAATGCTACTGTTCTCCACTCCATGTCGAGGGCAAAACATGATTCTGAAACACGGTGGACTTCACGTTAACGCAACGAACGCATACACGAGTGAATCCTCGTTGCATGACTCAAAGCCGGTGTGTATGCATGCAACGTACATATGGGAACGTATCACGATATGCGTGTGTGTTACGATAGCAGCAGGGCCGTAGAAAGGCAATCTAATTGGATTTACGCCGCCGGTAGACCTACTCTTATTGTTATTAGCTTCTAGGGAAATAAAATATCAACGTATATAATTTATGATTTCCATGTTTTACATACTTCATTGGATCCCTTTGATCAATTTTTCAGCATGATTTGATTACTATGATTGGAATAAAAATTACATATAGAGTATTGGGATCTTATACTATTAATTCATTCATTGTACTGTTATGTGTACATATTATTTAAAAATATTGAAATTACTTCAATTAACATAAACCTTTCGAATGCTTAGGGCTTAAAACTATAAAGAACATGTAAACTGTATCTTTCATAACCTCTATTTAGATGAATAACTTAAATAATGTGTTGTCGTTAAAATATTTCGATTTCTTCAAATTTTCCTTGGAAAAGATATAATGAGTTTTTAAATAAAGTGATTACGTATAGGAATATGTTTTTAAATAATACAATTTTATTATAAACATTGTTTTGACTCTGATGCGGCACTCTAATCAAGTTGCGTTAGTTCCGCTTCCAGTCGAGTCTTTTGGACCTTCGATTCCTTTTGTCCCGCCAGCATCAAACATGGAGAATCGTTCTATTTCAAAGAAGAGGAAGGTTGGTGAAATTTCGCAGTCTATGATCAAACATTCTTAAAAATATAATGTTCACTGTATGGATGAGACAAAAAAAGTGAATATTTTGCTGAAAAATAAGAAGATATAACACGTGAATGTTTTGGATGACATGGATGCTTTCAGCTGTATTCTTACGTTTGACTTCTATGTTCCTATGCTTTACGTTATAAACCTTATCAATACATTGCTTCCGTGTCTATTAAAGTAATTTTATTTACAGTCAACTCGAACTGCATTTATTAATTAGAGCATTAGTAAGGTTTAATGTTTATTTAGGACACGTGTGTGTCAACAAACATGCACTTTAGGGTTAACCTGTAAATTACTGAAATCGAAATAACAGTCCAATATTTAAAGTGAAATCATCCTACTTTTAAACTATTTATACTTAATAATGTATATTATTTTTCTAGTTTGTCGGGGATGGAGTCTTCAAAGCAGAGTTGAACGAGTTCCTAACTCGTGAACTCGCAGAAGATGGATACTCAGGAGTGGAAGTACGTGTCACTCCTCATCGTACTGAAATTATTCTGCTGGCAACCCACACACAGAGTGTTCTTGGAGAAAAAGGTCGTAGGATCAGAGAACTGACTTCTGTGGTACAGAAGAGGTTTAATTTCAAAGAGACACAAAATATTGAACTGTATGCTGAGAAAGTTGCAACACGTGGTCTTTGTGCTATTGCTCAGGCTGAATCTTTGCGTTATAAATTAATTGGAGGTCTTGCTGTACGAAGGTAAGTGTCAAAATCTTTGACACTGAAATGAGATCTTACTTAAATGGCTTGTAAATTATAATTTTAACTATATTATGTGCATATTTAGAGCTTGCTATGGAGTTCTACGTTTCATCATGGAATCTGGAGCAAAAGGTTGTGAAGTAGTCGTCAGTGGCAAATTGCGTGGACAGAGAGCAAAATCAATGAAATTCGTTGATGGACTGATGATCCACTCTGGTGAACCCACCAATGATTATGTTAATACTGCCACCCGCCATGTACTTCTCAGACAAGGTACCTTGAATCAACACGTATAATCATGTTGAAACTGTTTAAAACTAAGGATAAGAAAGGACTTTTTTATTTTAATTTAATGTTTTGTTACAGGTGTACTTGGTATCAAAGTAAAAATTATGCTCCCATATGATCCTCAAGGCAAAACAGGTCCAAAGAAACCTCTTCCAGATTCTGTTTCCATTGTGGAACCAAAGGATGAAATTTTCCCATCCCAACCATCATCTGAAGTGAAAGCATCGAAAGATATGCCACAACCAACACCACTTGCAGTGTAATTTATACACAAATGAAAATAAACTTTTAAAAGAAATGTCACAACTTTATTTGTTTCCTTCATTATCAATTGAATCTGTTACAATAACAATAGCATTACAATGAAGAAACAATATGTAAACATAGTAAAACTATTACGATTTGAAATCACATTAAAAGAAGTATTTGTTCTGATTTTTTGTTTATGAAAATTTCACTAATCATGCTTGAAGATATTCAATATTCGGTATCATCGATTTGAAATGAATTAGCCTAAAATATATTGTAAGATTAACTAAGAATTAAGACATTTAATCTTTCAATATGAACTAAATACTGTTTTATTGTGAAGTCCTTAGAATAACCCATATCTATACATCAAATAATGAAAGAACGACTTTTATCTACTGTTATATGCTATCTTTAGCACGTATTGAATATTTCTTGAAGAAAGTGGAGTGCATAAGTATAAACTGTAATTAACTTTATGAGGTACCAAAAATATATATGATGTGAGACACAATATACAATAACCAATAATATTTCTATATTCTCCCTTGTGTATATAACGTGAATATATCTTTATAAAGATAGACACCATTCCAATAGGTGCATCGGAATGTTATAATAAATAAAAACATATACATGCAAAACGTCTAAATAAAATGTAATGATATTTACTATAGTGAAACGGTTATGCCCTCATTTACAGTAATTTAGAATTACATGGTGAATCTTGTTGCATTATCGGTATTACACCTTAAAAAGTATTACAAATCTGAATACATAATTTGACCATAGACATATCTTGATACTTAGTAAATAAATTCTAAATCTGATCTAGTAATAATTTGTATGAAACATTCGCACCAATTCTCGTTATCATTTCTAGCATTCAGAAATAAGTGCAGATCATAATTGAAATTTCAGAATTCATAGTTTGATCGTTTTTATACACTTTTCAAATAATAAATCATAGGCTTCTTGTGTTTGATATTTGCACTCTTCTTGTTCTCGGATCATGTTGTATGAAATTTTTATTGCATGGACCCTAGAACCCTAGATAATCTTTAAAAACTGGTGTACCTGAAATCAAAAATTACTGGCGAACTGGAACCATTTGTTGTGTGAGCGACAATAGACCTTCAATCATTCGTCTAACAATATCTGGTACAGATGGTTTTGTTGAAATTGAACTCAGTCCATTTCTAAGCTCATGGAATACATTGCGCGTGGATGGATTTCGTTGAGATGCAAGACGTAATTTTAAGAACTGATAGTAGATGAGTGGTGTCAGTAAACCAGCACGACCCCTGTGAACAGTTAATTTTGTTAAATTTCAACACAATGTCTATGTTTAAAAATACAGTACATAGTAATACATACGTAAAGACAAGGAGGACTGTCAATGGCAGATTAATAATCTCTGATAATGCACATAGCCGTAAAATGTTCCGAGATTGAAATTCGATTAGATTTATAAATAGACGTGCTCCCCACCAACTGTTTTGTCCTAAACACTTAATGAGAATAACACAAAATCAATATACGTTGTCATTACAGTGACTGTGCATTTCATAGTGCTATGTCTACTATTATATAATTCTCTGTTATAACACAAAGTTTTTGTTACTTACATCAAGTAGTGTGAGAGAGTAACTAGCAAAATGAATTAGTGCAAACAAAAATATGGGAGTTAACACCACTGATTATTAGTTGAGGAATAATAATTTCAAATTATACCTATATAAATTTCTTCATCACTATCTTACATTATGATATATACTGTTAAGTTAAAAGGATACAAGTAACAGGAGCTGCATACAAGAATATTAAAGAATAAAATAAATAATGGAAGGAATCTTCAAGAAATAAATGTTCCAAAAATTGCCTGTTTAATTGAACACGTGGCACTCTTTGATGAAGACGTAATGCACTTGTTGCTGCACTACTCATTAAAACTTTATAATAAATATTATAAATATTGCTAAAAAAATTAGAAACACAAAATTAACATTTGTAAACTTAAGTTTCTTAATGAATGCAAACAATATGTTGAAACAACATACCCAAATATAGGAATGATATAACCAACAGTAAATATAATTGTGAAAAGCCTTGTAACCCATAACCCAACTTTAATCTTATTGTCAATAACATGTTGTCTTAAGGCATGCCAGCCTTTTTCCATGTGTGGAGCATTATCAGTTGATTTCGATGTGTTTGACATCCTATGTAAAAACAAAATATTATTACATAAAATTGTAAAAACATTTAAATTGTAAAACACTTAACATATACGTATCTAACTCTTCCAAGAATTCAATTGTACACTATCTTTTACAAACATGTTAAAATGTAAATCGTATGTCCTGTTTTCTAAAGTGAAAGCAGCTACTTAATTTAGATTAAAATATTTACTGTATAATATACGACGTACTGTTTATTACGTATGATTTTAAGAAACTCAGATACTTAGCATTACCAGTTGAATGTCATGAAAGCCTTGGTTCTTTTAAAGAAATTTTTAATTTACTGTTGTAATTTGAAACTTTCATTAATTATGTGTATACTTAAATCGAGTCGTATCGAGAAAGTATTGAATAAAAGTGAACTTACTTTGCAAAGCGATACTTTACAACCCAGAGACTAAACGCTCCTTTACTTAGTAAAAATCTAAATTGCTACAAACAAACGCACGGACGAAAATTGTGACAAACTAAACCACCAACTACAGCATCAATCAGCATCAATACACTGCAATACACATTTAGTGACCACGTATCCTTCTCTACTTAAGTTCCTGATAATTACCCTGAGTTTCGTTTTTAAGATTTCTAATTTCCCTGATAGATGGTGCGAACGATTCTCTGTCGTGGAAATGGCTAGGAAACTTCACCACAAGAGGGCACAAATAATGCCATTTTCTCGTTACATATATATGTACATATATACATATGTAGTTCTCATGAGATTGTGTAAATAAAACTTCACATTGTTACGTAAAAGTTTAGAATCACTTGTAAAATTAATCAAATGAAGAAAAGCACATAAAACATAATATAATCGAGACTTTGTATATCTTGTAATATTACATACCACTTTTCTTTATAAAGGAGAGTTTTTAGGATAATTTATCATTGTTTGACAGTCCTTGTTAATGAATGACGGCGTAAAAAATACAACTTCTACTTCATTCTTGCTTTCATGAAATGATCGATAAAGATTCGTAGTATGTAGTGTTACATTTAGAAATTTGGACAATTTGTGATTATTGATATTTCTAAATTAAAATATATAAATCATATTGTTACTGGGGTCGATGATCATGTACAAATTGCAACACTAAATATATAATTAATTTAACATAAGTCGAGTTACACATAATATGACAGAATCTTTATTGTTTGTAAATACACTAATATGTACCAATAAAATATAATAAAATATATTAAAATATTATTTATGTACACTAATGAAATTTTCATCACAGACGAGATATATGAATGCACCTACATGCAATGTAATTTTCTGTCCCATGCTTCGAGGTCGTCAGAAGTGGTCAGAAGCCCCCTTACCATTTTAGTGTCAATACCCGACGTTACCGATAAACCATGAATTCTGAGTATTATTAGCACAAATGAAGTGTTATATATTCCATTCATATTGCGTGTACCTATATGATTTGACGGGAATAAAAATATCGGATGCTTCAGTTTAAGGGTAAGCAATAAATATGACAGTCATGAAACATGAAACGGAAAAGTATATATTTTTTTCACTTAATTACAAGACAATTTATTCTAAATGCATCGTTAATGGACATTTTATTAATGTTACTTTTTACATGTTCTTGTTTTATTCGTTTTTATATCTTGCCTTACATTTGTATATTTGTAACAGATACATTCAAAATAGATGTAGTTTCATAAATAGTTTATCAAATCTACATGTGGGAGAATATATACATCGCTTTTATTAACATTTACATATTTATAAGTTATATGGGAGTATGAATAGTTTTACTGTCTATTGTAAGAATCTTAATACGCACAAACAATTACTTTCTGGCAATTGGTAAATTTTACACATGAATTTACTTACACGTTATTTACTTACAAAAATTTTATTTATTGCGAGTAATTAAATAATGAACGTATGTTAATATTCAGCTACATGTCTCTCAAATTAAGTGAAATACGGAAGTTTTATTTTCTTGAAAATTAGTGTCAAAGAATGCAGCAACTGATCAGATTAGTTTCGTAAATAAATCGAAACGCTGTATCGACACATTGTTTTTTAGGCTATCAAATATCACACGGAGTCTTTTAGGAAGTAGTAGAATCTTTTACACAAATTCAATGAAATACTTTCAGGTACCCAGTCTAGGGCTATGAAATTAGACTCCACTCGTAGCAACCTCCTCGTGGTGAGGCCTGGGCAATCGGTGTTGTCATCTGTAAACTGAAGATAATATCGAGCTAATGGCTGCGAACTTCGAATGTATCTCATAAAACCACGTTCTATATTACATCGAACTAAGATTATTTTAGAAATCGATATGAGATTCAAAGTGTAAAAATTTCTAGTACTTTGAACGTTTTAGAAAATTATTCGAGATAAAGATGTATGGAACGACTGAAAATTACTTTAGATTCCTTTTCCTTATTCTGTAAATTCTTTGATTGGAATATGAATGCTGCTGGAAGTATGAACATTTTCACAGGACAATGATATAAATGGAACTTTAATTAAGCGTTACAGTGATATTTCGTTACATGTTCCATAATGTCAATAGATTTCCCCGCAACATCCATAATTATTACAAATGTCAATATAACGAAATATCTTTTATGCGATGTTTGTGATGTAATAAAAATCTGTGTTTCGATTACGTTTTTGATACGTATTACTCACTTATATGTAATAATATAGAATAAAAATATACTGTTAGTCCGATATTTGAAAATATACATGCGTTCGTTGTCACTGTTAAACTGTTGTAATAACAATGGAATAATAAAATAATTTACTCAAATGTACATAATAATACATATACATATTCATAAAAACAATATTAAACGCAATAACTTTTTTGTACGCGAAAAAAAACCAATAGGTCCGTCCGGACTAGAACCTAAGACTCCTTTCTACATAATACGTCTACTTTACAGCGAACGGACGGAAGAGAATCTGACGTATTTTCTGACGTACCGAACACTCATGATCTGTTAACATTGCGTACTTTAGACTCAACAACACTGTAGAAGTTAGACTAGTTGAGCTCGAATGAATTTAACGTATTTCACAAATTTACCGTTCTCATAACGTAGAGGGCAGTAGAAAATCCCTGACTTTTTACACTATCGGTATTTCAGAACATGAGACACGAAGTCCCATAAGATGATAGGTCTATCCTATACCTAGTCGGTGTTTTCATATAATCTCCACCCGCAGATACATACATACATAGTAACAATACGATTTATTGTAGCGTCGATTCTTATAACTAGATTGATTTCCCTCAAATATGCAACCTGTTGTATCTTTCTGTCACGCCTAGAATGAATTGCATACATTCAGGAGATATTTTAGTTTGCACATCTGTCCGCTAGATGGTTATAACGAAATTTACGTCATACTCGTCTTACTAAATACATAATGATGTCATATTTATACAAGTTTTCCCCTTTACTTGGAAGGAAATACCTTTCAATTCGTGTTGTTTATTTTATTAGTTTCGTGAACATCTTTGCTTTACTGATGAATCGAATAATACAGCAGACATTGACTAACTCTCAATACATACTATGTTATGAACTTCGTGAGCATTGGAGAAAGTATGTTTCTATGTACAGATTGAGTAACTGTTAAGAATACCTACCTATGTACATACATATGTAATTGCTTCATTCACAGGAAACATTCTTCAATTTTTGACTGTCAGTACAAAAATAGTCGTATAAATTATACATATTCATATGACATTTTTGTCAGTAAAATACGAAGAACACTTGAAAACATCTTTCGTATAGTTTCAGGTTATTGAATGTTTTCCTTAAAGAAAGGTCAAATTTGACGACGTATACATATATAGTTGCATTAAATTATTTATTTCAAAATTGACGGGCATATTTATAAAATTCGTTTAAAATTAAAAAATGTCTTTTCAAATCCAAGTTTGTTTGCTTGTTATACCTACCATAACTATTTCTGCGCAGCCATATATGTATGTCCGATTTAAGTACCATTATTAATTTACGAAAGACATATATACGTGGATCAATACAAATAGTGACGCTTAATAAAATTTCATGCTCAAAATGATTCGTATATACAGATATATCTATAAAAAATATATATTTTCAATTTGGTGTATTGGAATTTAAATCGTATTATATAATGCATTAATCATCTGGGTAAAAGAAGTATTTACGTATTATTTCGTACGATAAAGTTTCTTTTTATGATAATGTGAATGGGTAGATGACGAAAACACGGAAAACTGCCTTCAAAAGTATAGGTGCGATTCAGTATAACGGTAGAAATCTTCCGCTCAGGAGGAACGGAAAAGTAGCCCAAGAGTGACTGGGGATAAGAAGTTCTCGACGTGTCCGTTTGACTCAGTTCTTCTCTCGCGAGCGTGGCTTTAACATAAAAACTTACCAGTCCTACGGATTGCTTTAAGTTCAAGTTTTTTGAAATCGCGCGAAAATCAGTCTTAAAAAATGTTGTTTATCGGGTCAGTTTGCGCTATAATTGCGAGCGTTCTCGCCTATCGCAAGCCTAAAGAAAGTTGGCCCCTCATTGTCATTCACATGATCTGTGAAATGAAGTTCGGTTTACTAGCTGCCAAGGAAATCCTCAATGATTGGATCAACGCAAAATATAATAAAAACAGTAAGTCAATACCACCCTTAACGCGTTATTGTGGTTTCATTGACTGTTTGAATTTTTAAAATTGTATCGCGCGCAATATTTACAACATCTCCTTCAATCGTAATTAAAAATATAAACTCTGACTTTGTACTAAAAGTGATACCGTATATTCTACGTTTTATTCTATATTCATAATATTAAAGAAATTTTATATTAAAAATGTCTAACATATGTCTTTTCGAAATTTATAAATAATAATATTCAAACAGAACAAAATTAGTAACTGTTTGAATGACTGTTAAGTATTAAAAATTATTCATTCACTACATTTCATTCAAATCACTTGACCAATTTGTATGTACATACATATTAAGACCTCATTTTCATAACTAAATCAAACTGGAGGAGACTACAAATTTGAGACAAAGTGCATAGTTGAAATGTAAATATTTTTTTTGTTGTATGTAAAGTGAATTTTTTTTAGATTGTCCACCTCAGACAGGTAGAGTTGCCATTATAACAGGAGGATCCAGAGGAATTGGTGCTGATGTGGTTAAAATGCTTTTGGAACTTGATATGGAAGTAATAATTGGTATGTTACATATATTCTATTAATAACAATTCATTCGTTTACAAATATTTTGTTAAAAATTAGTAGTATAATACATACATAAAATACATATTGTAGCTTGCAGAACACCTAGTGCCGGTGAGAAAGCCATTCTCCAAATTAGAGAATCAGGTGTTAAAAGTGGGCAAGCAAAAGTATATCAACTTGACAATTCTTCTTTGGAATCTGTAAAACAATTTGCTGCAGAGATAAAAAAAAATTACACAAAAATACATGTTCTGATCAATAATGGTAAGATTCATCTGTATTTTAAAAGTTATTGTTTCTCTATATTCATGTGTTATAGGTATGTACTATTTTCCTATTTGTAGCTGGTATTATGTTTGGTTCTTACAAGGAGACTGGAGATGGTTTTGAAGAACAGTGGGCAGTAAATTATTTATCACATTTTTTATTAACTATCCTTCTGTTACCATTATTGAAAGCTGGTAGTCTCTCACAACAATCCAGTAGAATTGTTAATGTTAGCTCTTGTGCTCACCTCATGGGTAAAATAAACTTCAAAGACATTAATAACAAGTATGGTATCATTTTTATAAGTAATTATAACATTACTGAAATTGTCTAATTTAGTATAATTTATATTCCTTATGAAAAATTCATTTTTTAGACAGAGATTTGTTACGGGATACGCATACGCTCAAAGTAAATTAGCACAAGAAGTATTCACAAAAAAATTACAAAGTCTGTTAATAGAAAAAGGGTATAACATAAATGTATATTCTGTGCATCCAGGCATCGTGTTTACAGACCTTTTTGTACATTCTTTTGTGTGGAAATGCAAAACATTAGCACAACATCTTTTCAAGGTAAATGGAAATAGAGATATAAATATTATGCAAGTTTAAAGATTATAGACATAATAAATATTTTTTTAGACCCCACAACAAGGAGCTGTTTCCATTGCATATGCAGCTGTGAACCAAGCAGTTGAACATTCTGGTGGTACATACATTAGTAACTGTCTCCCTAGTCCAGTTAACCCAGATGCTGTAGATGTGTCTGTACAAAGCAAATTGATTGATTTATCTCTTGAACAAGTACAGCTAAAAAATATATTTGAATATATGTAGTAACAGTACAATAAATTATCAACTACTGTTAAGATTGAACATTGTATTTCATTATTATTTATTACGAAATAAAAACGATTAATTTGTATGTAAATACAGATCAGTTCCACTGAAGGAAAACAATTTCATACACAAACATACATGTGGTATTATATTGTAATTTATTTATTTATACAAACTATGTGATAATCAAATTTATAAACATTTACAATAAATTATATAATACAAAAGATGTTGAAAGATCTGCCAATTGAAAACGTGTATAACACTTCCTGAATGTTTCATTTTTAATAATACATTCAAATCTATGCAATGTACATATCAAATATAAAATAAATACATGAATCATATTACTCCATCTTTTAAACCATCAACTAATACGTAGTTTTAATAGCATGTGTAACTTACATGAATATGTAGCGGCTACATAAATATGTAACAGTTACATAGACATCTTGAAAAATAGATCAACAGTTTTTTTTGACAGTGTTAAAAAGTCCTGCATTTATTATTATAGTTGTCCTCCTGACTTCATATTGATATGTTCTTACCAGTATAGTTTAATTACCACTAGCCTCGCGAGCACACTCGGCTTCCGCTAGGGAAAAAAGTGGCGTAGAAGCAAAGTCTCCTACCACTTAGTAAATTTATTTCAAGTACTAAAATAAATGTTAAACCAAATGTTAATTTGGCATAAATTTCAGTAACTTCCAAAACTAAATGGTAGGAGGCCCTTCACCTATCTCATATTTTCCCCTAGCGGAAGCAGAGTTTGCAGGTCGGTGTACAATGCAAGTATTAATTTGTTTTTAATGTTGTTTAAAATTTACAACACACATTATTAACAATAAACATTATTGCGCAATGACAGCAATTTCAAGTTTTGCTTTCTTCTGTTGGAATAATTTAAGTGCATAAGAATCACAATGCTCTTTAATATATTATGTCATTATACATATATTTAAATAAGACAGATACACTATCATTTTAATTATTAACAGAAACCATACTATCAATTTTCACATGTATAATCCTAGTTTAATATTACTACAATTACACTGTTTCAACTACAGATAAATGTAATATTACTTATAATCATAAACGATACTTTTGATAAGAGTATCATCCACGCATAAATCTATTTTACAAATTTTATATTTGTTATACACACAACTAATAATTATAAAGTCGTTAAGAAAATGTGTACAAAAAACACAGTGTGCCCAGTATTATCTGATAAGAATGCATACATATTATGAATCTATGTATAATTTGTTACATTTACAATGTAATCGGTACATGGACTAGAGCAATGTGCTAATAAATCTGTAATATTTATAAACTATAAATAATAATAAAATATTTTTAAATAATAATATTAAATAATACACAAATGAAACAAGCAATAATTATTTTCTGCTTCAAAATTATAGATAAAATCTTAAACAAATACAACAGAACTTTGGTTTTATAAATGCTGCAATCAGAAATCATTTGCACCCTATCATAACTAGCAGTAATAATTGACCCAAAAAATGATTAGCGTTAGTGTTTGTTGTAAAAAACTTATAGAATTGATTGCTTCCAATATTAAGCATCAGTAGATCTTTACAGTAGTATAATAAACACTTATCTGTATATTGCACGTTTGAAAAAATTCTGAACATTGTTAGGCTTACAAGTTTTTAGTAAAAATCTTACATTTGCTGCAATGACGTTACATTTGGTCACTGCGTATGAAATATTTCTTTGTACTTTCCAACACAACATAAAATATCATTAAAAAAATATGGTGTAATTCTATTCATGGAAACGTTGTTAAATGCCCAAACACAGACCCCAACTTATTTATTATCCATATAATGCAATTATATAAAATTATAAGAAAAAAATTCCTTTAATCAATCTTTATGAAAACATACTATTTTATGAACAAATATTCGTCAACATACTTAAACTTCATTTCAATTGCAAGTATTACATACTTTTTACAACAAAACTGTCAATATAATCTATACGATATAACACTAGATGCTAACATACAATATCAAGGATGCGCTTGTATGAGAATTCTCTTTTCTTTAAAATCTAAAAGATTGATTAATATCATATTCAACCTCTGTTTTCTATAAAAACTGTAAGATAGTGTCCTAAGTACATATTTAGCAACTGAAAATTTGTGTTTGTCGAATGACTTAATGTTACATATAAAATCTACTTAAGAAAGTCGACTACAACCACAGTTACTTGTATCACCAATTGATGTTGTTTTTCCATTTAGTGATGTTGTATTTGTTTCATATCTGGGTAACTCCTTACTGCGTGCTTGCTAAAATATTATATCAATTTACATATCATTAGGCCCTAACATATATGTTTTTAATAAACAATATATCAGTTAATTACCTCCATGAGTTCAGCTGCTATTTCCATAAACAATCGTTCCACATTCTCTGCTTCTTTGGCAGAAGTTTCCAAAAAGTACATTCCATGTCTTTGTGCAAAATCTTCTCCTACATGTGTCGGTATCTCCCTATCCTCTCGATCAATTTTATTACCTATCAATTAATTGTACATAAATAATTCAGAATAACAATAATAATAATAATACATCAGTTTGAGAACATACATAACTTACCTACTAATATCCTAAGAACTTTATTACTGGCATATTCTTCAATTTCTCTCAACCAATCTGGTAAACAATCAAATGTAGGCTGACAAGAAATGTCGTACACTAAAATCAAAGCATGAGCTGATCTATAATAACTTTGAGTTATTGAACGAAACCTTTCTTGTCCAGCAGTGTCCCAGATTTGAAGCTAAAAGAAAGTCTGTGTTGCTTATATGTAGCATAAAATGAATCTAAAAAAGTTCGTGCCACTACATTGGATGAATCATAATGTATTACATCATATGCATACCTTAACTTTCTCATTTTCTACTTCTACAGTCTTAATCATAAAATCAACACCTATTGTTGCACCTTGACCAGGGGGATATAATCCCTACAAAAGCAATCATTTATTAATAACTGATAAGTTATAAAAGATGAACATGTAAACTCTGGTAAATTTAACAATCAGAATATTGTAAAAACAGATGGCATTCTTTATACAAGAGATCATGCATAACACAATAAAGGTTATTTCTCATGAACATACTGCTGATTTTATGAAATAAATAAGATTTACTAATATCTTTTAGTTCCTTTATACATCAGGAAATCACTGACGAAATAAAGAAATATTTTTATATTTCCCGCTTTTGTTAATTACAATACAGAAATTTGAATTTGCATAAATATCTTTAGCCTACTCATCTTTATTGCGTTGTCAATGATAAATAATGCGAAATTAATCGACGATGTACGTAGGTACCTGGGTAAATCTGCGCACGAGGCAACTCTTGCCGACGCCCGCATTTCCCACGAGAACAACTTTAAAGAGAAATTTATAATCCTCCATCACATTCGTGCCGCGTTACGGTCAGGAATCCTGCAGAAAACTAACGATGCATTTGGTAAGCACAACACAGGTGTGCAATCTTCTGTGGTCGTTCACTGTTGACGGCGATTCGAAAACTCGTGTGATATGCCTCAAACAAACTGCACTTCCCTTTTCGAACACACCATTAACGTATTCATTCACGGCATTATTCCTCGTTCGTGATTTTTCTGCGGTTCACTGATCACACGGCACTCCATTTTCACGAGGTAAAAAAGAACGCGCACTCAACGAAGATCGCGACTCGCTCGCCAGACACTCTGCCATTCTGTCAAAATGACGTTTTCTCCTGTCCCCGCCGTAGGGTCATGACATCGTCTCAATTTGGAAATCATAAGAACCCCATGAGATCACACATGAATAAACCAATTTAAGTATTACGTCATTATCATTTCTCCTTCCTCTCGAGTAAATTCTGCATCTTGCAATAATATACGTAAATACATCTTACGAACACTATTCGAATACTCCTTCACGCGTTAAGATCCAATGATTTTTCCATGGATTCAGATGGTAATTGCGTTTTTCTAGTTACAATTTATAATTTATAGTATGTTACGATGTGAACGTTGGTGATCATGTCGCAGCAGTTGCAGGTTCAATTTAAATTAGAAAATGTTATTATAATATGGTTCCATTTCGCTCATTGCTTTTTTACTATCTTCAAGTGTAAATTTCTTATTGTCTATGCAATTCTTTTGCAACTTGATATTTAGACCACACAAAGATTGCAAAAATATTAAAATTATTATTATAAATAAGAAAGTCTAATATATACAGAATTACAGAATATAATGTCAAAAAATGATAAAACCTTTATTAAACACTTAATCACGCTTAATAATTAACGTGGTACATAGCATTTTCTTTGTAGAGCCAAAACATCGAACAGTTTGAACGAACGAGTTCCCGCGGTAACGTTGACTACCAATCGAGCGCGTAGCCAACGTTACCGCGGGAACTCGACCGGCAGACTCACGTTCTGATAGGTTGGGGTTTTTCGTTAATATCTCGTTAACAAAACCTGGGATAACATTTTTGTTAAGGAAAAACTTGTTCCAAATCGCCTCACGAGTGTCCCAGTTTAAGGATCTGCAACATTTTTGTTACACCCTGCAGATTATATTACCTGATTGAAAGTTCGCAACATTGAGAACATGCCCGAATCTTTCATTTTGTTCACTATCGACACTCGCGGAATAACTATGAAACTTAGCTACCGCTAAGCAAACTGGTTGTGCCAGACGTTGTAAGAACGTTCAGGATTGGTCGTTTCCTGAAATTCAACCGACAGAGTCACACATTTAACCAATTGTAACGCGTTTTATACAGTTGTAATCCCGTTAGAAGGTACAAAGGAATGGTAGCCATTTTACGTGGATATCCCGTTCGGTTGTAAGCAGTAGAGTCCGCGTGATTATCGCGAAAAGTCAAAATAATCGTGGTTCGGGACATTCCTGTATTTTCGAAATGCGTTAAGAAAGGTAAATGTTAATCGGTGTCGCTTATCGTGTTCCCGATAACGCTCGCTGGCTGCACGTGAACCCCGTAACACCGAATGTCGTCTGAGTTCCCTCAACGGGCGTTGAGAAAATCCAGATGCGTGCTAACTATTCGTGTAAAGTTCGGTATTTGTGCTGAATTTCTAGAACGTGTGTGAACGTTCCGGGAACACTGTGACGAGAAGTAGTTATAGAGAGCATAGAATGCCCCGGCGAACGAAAAAAATCAATATGCGTCTAAAGTCTATCAACCTTTCGTAAAAAGGTTCAAGATAATATTACATAAATAGAAACAGTTAATGTGCTAATTTCTTCTTATTGACTTGGGACCTGCGAGGTCAACGATCTCGTTTGTTCGTGTCGGTAGAAGCGAAATCTCGAGAAATCGTGAACGTGTCTAATCGTTTCTGTCCTACATATTCTGGTTCGGTAAAAGTGGAGTAGCCTAACCATCGTAGAAAATCACGAAATAGCATTGCGCAGAGTATTTTCTGGTTTCTGCGGTAAATCCTTCTAGTTGCTTGCTAGAATTCCTTAATTTCACCATGTTGTCATGTACATGCAATATGAGCAATGTTTATTGAACTATTCATTGCATCATAGCATCTGACAATTCCTAATTACTGTTCAGTTTTATAGACCATGTGTGTGTTTATGAATGTTCAAATACTTCAACAGTTTCTCATCTGTGGATAGTAGAATTTACAATTAATTCGGTTTTAAATTACATTTAATATTTTCACATTGACCGTATCTGAGAAACAATCATTGTAGTTTCATCATGATATAGATCAATAAATTTTTATAGCTCAGTTCAATGTTATTTTAATAAACCATCAATAAGTTATGAGTGTTCCTTTTATTTCCTTCCTGTAATGTATTTGTTTATATAATATCTATTTTCTCTGTGTCACAGTGTAATTACTACTGTCAATTTGACGAAGATTTGTTGCACTTGTCAACTGGCAACACCATGACATCGACAAAGTCTAAGGAGATAGCTGATGAGTATATCTCATCATTGTCTGATTTGACCATCAATAGCAAGCCATTGATCAATATGCTTACTATGCTGGCAGAGGACAACATTGAACATGCACCTGCAATTGTTCAAGCGGTCGAGAATCATCTGCAAAAGGTTGTTCATTCATTGTATTTACCTCCAAATGTATTTCTTTATATATTATAAGATCAATTATTCTTAAATCTTTGCAAAGTATAATTTATAGGAGCATACAATATTTATTCAATGTATCTTCATTATAAATATTTATTACCATTACATTTTTGCTACCAGAAGTAAGAAAGATGTTTTATATCCTTTTTTCTTTAATTATGGTAAAAAATATTGTAGTCGTATAACTCTGTATTACAAATCATTTTATTTACAGGAAATATAAATACGTTTGCCTAAAATAATTGTATATGATTGTATAAAATGAAATAGGTTTCTCTGTATTTTGCTCCGAATAGTACTTAAAACATAAACATATAAAGGAACTATTAGACTAATTTGATTTTTATGATACTAAGTAAAAAGTTATTTTATAATAATTGTCTTCATTTATGCACAGTGTATGTTTCTTCTCTTTTAACTTCAATTGATTATGGTATGAAATGATTGCCTGAATTTATTAATATTTCGAATTACAAATACAAATAAAATATATTTTGTTTCAATAGGTGAGAAGTGACATCAAATTACCTGTTCTGTATTTGATTGATTCAATTGTGAAGAATGTAAATGGGGCATATTTAAATCTCTTCACACAAAACATTGTAAATACTTTCTGTGGAGTGTTTGAAAAGGTATGTTCTTTTTTCATATACATTGTAGAAACATTGCATTATCTTGTATGGATGATATTTGCTTTGAATAAGAAGTATGTTGTAACCATAGAAGTATTTTATCCTCTGCAATGCTATAAGATAATTGCTTAGTCAATATCAGATCATTGAACTATCATCTTCTTTGGACGTTGTATTGGACACTTTTCATTGTCATACAATTCTATAGAAGGTTCAGGAATAGTAATTTTTGCATAAACAAACAGGTGGATGAGAACACAAGAGCTAGTATGTGGAAGTTAAGGCAAACGTGGAACGATGTATTCCCAGCAAAGAAGCTATTTTCTTTGGATGTCCGGGTGCAAAGTATTGATCCTGCCTGGCCAATCACTGCCTCTCCTACTAGTGTTTCTTCAGGATCTATTCACGTCAATCCCCGATTTTTCTCAATGGTGAGAACAATCATTTTATTAATTTTATTAATACTTCCTCTGGTCGCACTCTTACAATTGTATCTTGGGATTATTTCCAGCCACAACAGTCGACAACGACAATTGCGGCACAACCAATAGTAACGCCCGTTAAACTGCCTCCGGGTGATCCTGTGACACCAACAGAAGCAGCGATGCGGGAGCAATTACTAAAGAAACAGCGGGAATTATTAGAATTACAAAAGAAAAAAATTGAATTAGAATTACTTCAGGCTAAGGCGAACTTAGAGCAACAGCAACGGCAATTAGACAAGCAAGCTGGAAACTTGAAAGTGGAATTAGTAAGTAGAGATAATTTAAATATGAATTAAATCAAATTATAGGAAATGTGAGAGATCTTTGCATTCTGTATTAAATTTATAGCCTGCAGTTACGACACACGTTACATCAAGCGTGGACACAGCAGTACAAGGAAAATCTGTTGCACCTACAGTGCCAACTCAAGTACCAAAACCAGTAACAAAACAGGTAACTGTTTAAATTACACATCTTGAAACGCTGTAATGATTTTTGCAATTATGTACATATCCGTCTAAATATGTTATGTTCGTTTTAAAGTTTCCAGCAGCGACTGCTTCGCTTCTAAAAAATGCGGGATCGAACAATGGTCCGCGAATCGCGCCGGCTAGTAGTATAGCAGTGGCATCGGCTAAGCCTGTGTCTCGTGATCCAAGATTGAAGACGACACCAGCTCAAGATGTAGCAGTTTCAAGCGTGGATCCTCGGCAGCGAATAAGTACACCAACACAAAAGGATACGCGGGGTGATGGCCAAACGCAGCTAGCGGCAAATACAAACACTGTACTTTCAGATCAATTAAAACAGCAGTTACTTTCGAAACAGGCTGTGACTAGCACTATCAACAAGTCTCCGACAAATCTTGCCGGCTCCGATACTGCGACGATAAACGCTAGTAATAACAATAATGCTAATACGAACCTCAACAATAATAATAATAACAATAAAAATTTCAGTGGTAACGCAAATAAAGATGCTGTATCGCATCGAACAAGTCAAAAGAAAGACCCTCGATTGTCTAGTAATAGTAGTGGTAACCTAAACAGTAATAGCTCCAAAGGTTCTCAAAGTCTATCTATGGGTAGTAATAGTTCTATAACGTTATCAGCGAGCAACAGAGGAAGTGGTAGTAACGATTCGAAGTCGAAGGATACGAAGAGCTCGAACTCACGAGGTTCTTCGTCGTCGACGATCGACAAATCTTCCACTTCCTCGAAATCCTCGCATAGGAAGATAGTTAACAAGTCGCGATCTAAGCAACCTCAAACATCTCCGAGTAAGATACCGAAAATCGACAGAGACGTGAGTCCTGTTAGGTCAAAATCTCGTGAAAAAGACAGTGGAGACAGTTCACCATCCTCGCGTACCTCTCCCCAATCCTTTCAAACCTCGAAAAATCGAAAGAAGAATACGAAATCGAGAAAGCGCAGTCCAAGCCCTCCATATAGAATTCCCAGGCGTAACGATACAAAGTCCAATTCAAGTCTAAGCAGTTCCGGCGGTGTCACTGAGGAGGAGCAATCTGGTTCGCTGATAGTCTCTCCTCCTCATCCGCCCGCGTTCAAAGAAATTCGTCCAAACGCTAGACAGAGAAATTACGTAAGGCGAAACAAGGACGGCAGTCTTAGCCCCGAGCGATCTCCAGCGAATGCTGGAAACGCTCAGAGTACCGTGGAACCCACTTTGGAGTCATCCAGCAAAGACGAAGACTTGAGAGCAACGCTACCTCTTCCAGGTGCAACTGCTTCTGTACCAGAAAAGAGTGAGTCAATAACTTACATTCTTTTTACATGCGTATTTGATAAGCCTCTTACAGATAGAATATATTGACTATTTTACATTAATCGATGGTGAGTTAACTTATACAATATGTAATGATACCCTGGGTCTTCCTAGCTTGCTCTTATTAATACCGCACTTTACTCTAAATATTTCTGTACAAGGATTTCAGCCCTAATATCTATTCCAAGATTGTAAAGGGATGAAATGTAAACATGTTTTATTTATAAGTAACATGTACACTTTGTTCTTGTCTCGAGCAAAGCACATGTTTATTATTTTTGAAGATATAAGCTAGCATGCAAAGAGGATACAAAGATCCTATATGCTGGTAAAATTGAAAGCTGCGTATGAGACTATTGATAAAGATTAAACCATGATAATTCATATTATTTTGAAATCTTTTTCAGAAGAAGACTTAGATTTACGTGTATTGCCACCGCCAGTTAATACCAACAAACGGCAAAGTTCGGAACACATCGAATCAGCTATAACTAAGAAAACGAAAACCGAGAAATTTGATGCGTATGTGTTTCCATTTCCTTTACCTCTGTCCAATGGTGCATATATTTAACGCAAACATTGTTAACATACAATCAATTTCTTTTAATTTTACAGATTATTTGGAAATGAAGATGTTGATCTGCGAACGCTAACTCATCCTAAAGCTGGACGGCCGCCGACACCTCCTCCGCCTGTAATTTCAGGTGAAGATGGCAAAGACGGTTGGGCAAAGTTAAAAACACCGTCGAAGAATGATAGAGAGAAACAAGCAAATAATACCGATGATAAAAGGGATAGTAGAGACCGCAACAGAGACAGATTGGGTAGGCTCAGACTTTATAATAAGCTTCCTGACGATCCGAAAGAAAGGAGAAGGACACTATCAACTGATGATCAAGATAACAGACCAGGCAGAAGAGGACGAGAGAATGATAAGCCTGAACGAAATGAAGATAGAAATATCGAAATAATAATGAAACAGGCCGCCGAACAATTGAATCAAGGTTCCATTACTAAAACCCAATACAATACTTTGATTCAAGAGGTTCTACACATGAGTGAAGACCGGAAGTTAAGAGCCGCACAACGAAAAGAAAAGGAAGTAGGCTCGATTGTTTGGGAAAAAGGTGTAAACTTGGATATAACTGGTTCAGGTGATCGTACATCGACCTTCAGTCCTTCGAGCGATAAAGAAGTCATGAGGAGTAAAGATCATCCAATTTCAAGAAATCCAAATGGTCCAAGGTGGCAAAACCAGCCATGGCAACAACCAGGACCATGGGCTCATCCGCCAGGACCACCGTACGGTCCCCAAGGACATTTTAACTCGGATTTCAGACCTGTTGGTCCGTGGCAGAATCCAAGACATTTTGGGCCAATGCGTCCAGATTATCAATATCACGGTGGTTTTAACCATAATCTTGGTCCGAATCCCCGTTTGGGACCTGGAATGATGGGACCTATGGGACCCAACGGGCCTCTCATGTCGAGTCTTCTATCTAACGGTCCAATCGCACCAATCGGCTTGCCTAATCCGCCCATATCATTATCAGGGATAAGTGGACCTGGAATGATGATGAATAATGGACCAATATCGAATCTTATGTCGAATCCAAATATACCTCCCTTATCCACGAGGAATGTATCGCCGAATTCATCCTCGAAATATGATCTTGAAGACGGCGATCAGAATTATTCGAATAGTATGACGAAGAACTCGAATCCTCATAGCCGTGAATTATCACCGCCAGATTCGAAATTGTTAGATGAAATTGCGAGAGACACTATGAAGTCTATAAACATTGATAATATACCACGTGAAATTCGATACTATGGACAAACCGGAGTAGTTTTCATGAACTGGGACGATCCAAGGGAAATCGGTTTCCAAGACGGTATAAGACGGATTTTAATCGATGACAAAGATACTATAACTTGCGCATTTAATGATCAATACAAAGAATTTATGTACGAAGGTGAAGTTCATAGGTACGTGTCCAAATGTGTTCAGTTGATCTTACCCACTAATGTATACCTGTATTGGATGTATAGAATTAAATTATTTTTTTATGTTTTCAGAATTAAATTAGGCGCGCCTACTAGAGAATTGTATGTTGATGATCGATGGTATGAATGTTATTTCGGTGGTATGCCAGTAACGATAGATCTTGGGGGCAAGAAAGTCAGTGTTAAGCTTGAAGGACCTCCGCCCCAAGTCAAAATTGGTACTGTTAAGAGAACAGACTTAGTTGTCGCGAAAATTAACCTTATCATTAATGCCAGAAACATGGTTCCCGTCTTTTTGGACGCGAAGCCACAAATGTATGTTATCATTATATACTTAGTTGATAAACTTCAAATAAAACTATGTGAATCGATTTTTGAGTGAACTTATATATAACTAATATATTTTTACAGATTCGAAATTGAAGGAAAACCACATACGCTTGAGTTTATAGATTCGTTGCAAACAGTACTTTTAAATGGACGTCCATTCAAAGTCGAGTTTGGAGGATTGCCTAAACCAATAATTGTTAGGGATAAGAAACACTTTATAAGATTTTCGGTATTGCCAAGAGGAGTTCGGCCAGGCTACGTTAAAATTGCTGGTATGAGAGGCGAGGAACCAATTGAATCGCCACCTACCCCGCCTCTCTTGACGCAAAAACCAAAAGTGGATACAACTACTGCACCAGCACAGTTCTCATCTGTTGAACCGGAATCAACCTCGCAGGATGCATCTGATCTTCGATCTACTCCTAAACCGGGTAAATATTGTATTCGCAGAGCAATACTTTGTGTTACTTTCAGTGTGATATTTAAGCGTAGCTTCGACGTGCTTTCCTATGTAACATTTCATTAGTCTTGTAGCGAAAATTCTTTACGTTTCAGATTTACAATTGGATATGTTGTCGTCAGTGTTACCATCTGCAATGGCGCCAGCATCTGGTTTATCGTATCAAGCAGAGCCAGCAGAAAATCCACCTCCAGCAGCTCCAGCATTATCGTTACCATTGAACATGAACGAGTTGTTCCAGAGACTCGTCGAGACTGGGATTGTGCCGAATTTGACGGAACAAAAGAAACCAGAGGAAGAAGAAAAAAAGGAACCGGAAATAATCCCTGTTTCATTTGATAAGCCAGAGACGTTAAAAGTGTAAGTACATTTGAGTGTTTTTTATACTTATGTTGGAATGTCGCAATCAAGGTATAATATATCTCTGTTTGGAATAATTCCGTTCAGTTTTCACTGAAAACTGAAGAAATAGGAATCTCACATAGCTATAGGCAAGATTTGATTACAAACAAATAATGTGTACTTTTTTGTAGTAAACAACCGGCTATCGCGACAGCATTGTACAGTGGTATGCAGTGTAGTTCCTGTGGTGCTAGATTTGCGCCCGAATTGGCAACTCGGTACAGCCATCATTTGGATTGGCATTTCAGACAGAATAGGCGGGAAAGAGATTCCGCGAGAAAGGCACATTCGCGGCCCTGGTATTATGATGTTAGCGATTGGATACAATTCGAGGAAATCGAAGATTTGGAAGACCGAGGTATGTACAAGTTTGAAAGTAGTTTTTACGCTTCAGGGAATTGTATGCGTTCAAGAAAAGTATCTAATGAACTTTTTTTTTTCTTCTTTTTTAATTCAGCACAAAGTTGGTTTGAGACGGAAAAGCAAACTGCAGATACAGAAGGTATCGCTGCAGAAGATTCTCCGCAAGAAGCGTTGCAACCTAGCGTTCCTACTGGATCCAACGAGGATTCTAGATGTCAAGTGTGCCATGATGCATTTGAACAATTTTACAACGAAGAGAAGGAGGAATGGCATTTAAGACCGGCAATTAATTTCGAAGGAAAGAATTACCATCCTCTGTGTCTAGACGATTACAAGGTTGGTACTCCCTTCTTATTAACTGTTAGGATTTACGTTAAATATTTTCTGTCACAACTCGATCGATTACATATCGGTACAAGTTTATTAATGAATTTTCTATTTTTTGCATTCTTACAAAACAAAAAATAGGAAAAGAGTCTTGTGGTACGTGTTTCTCAATAATAATTAATGTTCACATATTGCACTTGCAGAAAGTTTTTTCACATATAGATATAGTGGAAGTAATTAGTCACTGAGAAAAGTTAACGTAACAGTTACAATATACTTTTCAGTTTGTTTCTTCTCCTTTCATAGAATTTTTTTTCATAGAAATATACATGTACCTCTTTAGTTATTTTTTTATCATGTGTTGATTTTTCGTAGTCTGTAGATGAGTAGAAACAACGAGAACGATGATGAAAGTGTTTACATGCATACGATGAGTTCAAAAGATATTGTAATATTTTCACATCTTATTCAGTATATGTTGTACTTATAACACAAGCAGCTGTAAAATATGAATTAAAATACCAATGGGATGTCCCATAAAATATGAGACTTCGCTGCAGTGATAAATGTCACATGTAAAAATAGAAAACTGTGTTCCTACAAAAAATATGTCCAACATGATCTTTCAAAGTAATATTAGCTCTGTATTATAATAACCATCTTAATGCAATAGACAATTCATCCATTTGACTTTCTACAAAGAGTGCTTAAAGATAATGAGAAAATCCTATTGATCAACGATAAAATGTTAATGGGAATACATTTGAAGGGCAATTTCGCCATTTTCAATATCCATCAGATGTTGAATAGACTAGCATAAAAGATTGACAATAACTTGAAAACGGTCTAATAGAGCATATGCGTTTACATCAATTCATTTCATTGTTTTGAATGCTAAATCTATCTTTGAAGTGAAACCCATACTATATTAGTACATATTAGAAAGTTAAGGTAACTTTTTGTTTGCGTGATATTTTGTTGCACGTTTATAGAGTTACTAGTCATATGCACTATGATACTAATACTGTGTATCAAAACCAAAAACTAATGCTGTTGTGCTTTTTCACGTCATTAGAGAGCTTTGGAAAAATCTGCGTTAGCCCTCGAAGAAACGATTGAAGAGATGGAGGAGGATAAGAAGGAGGGTTCCGATGAAACGTTTACAGAAGAAAATAAGACCAACGAATTAAGTATGGAAACGTTAAATTCCGAAATGGAAACAACTGAAGCGTCCGACGAAATAATGGAGGATAACGCTCAGAAAGAATCTGTTGCAACCGACCAGAAACAAGAAGACGAAGCTATGGTTGTAGATAGTGCGGATACTGAGCAGAATGATATAGTAGAAGTTCAAGAATCGCAACAAAAGAATGAGGAATCTATTGATATTGAAACTGCGGAGAATGAGGTCGCATCTGCTGCCATTGAAGCGGATGTATGCGACACAGAAATTGTAGATAAATCTTTTGAAAATATTAAAATTAAAGAAGAACCAATTGACGAACCCGAAGAGCAATTGGAAGAAGGGCAATTTGATTTTACGAACGTAGAAGTAAAAGAAGAACCTGTTGATCCGGAACCAGGTACGTTTTGTAATTTTACTGATATAATTATAATTTATGAAATTATAATTATTATAATGGTCAAAAGAAAGTTTAGAAGATGTAAATAGTATAGGGAAATTGTAGTGTGCCAGTTTATACGTATACAAAAGATACCAGAAACTTTCTTTTGCCCACCACTTCGAATATGTCTTTTCATATATTAATTTCTCAACATTTGTAAAATAATATCACAATTAGACCCCGAAGAGAGCATAATTGCTGAACCCGCATCGGTCGATACAACGTATGCTGCTGTGAAAAGTTCTATAGATGGAAACGTAGAATTGGATTCTACACCTGCAGCGATTCCAGCGGCGCCGTCACGAATTAAGATTAACATTACGAAACCGTTGTGCATCAACAAAGAACCGGAAGAATCGAAAGAGAAAGAAAAACCTGTAGCCGAGACACCTGTTGAAGAAGTAAAAGAACCTTTGGTGCCGGCTTCTATCAAACCTGCTTTGCAAGGTAGAAAATTGTCCAATTTACCACCTGTGGAAAGAGGGCAAGAGTTGTCAGGACTCTGCTCGATCATGTAAATAGTACCTGTAATATACATATTTGAGATGCGTCTGCGTGCGAGAGCTTGCGTGTGATTTTGAATGTACTTTGTGTTTAGCGCTACTTAAAATTTAAGTATCGATATCGTTGTACATCACGTTATTGTGCAACTTATACGACCTGATGATGTGTGATACACAGACAGATTATTTTGTGTCTTTCCTTTTCTTTTTTTTACCGTATAATTAACTTTTCTGTATTTTACATATATTTTTCTTTTTGCATTTCGTAAGCCTATATTTACCTCAGTAGTTCTATCTGTCGACTGCCGGTCACGGTGAAAAAAAATTGCATCCTGTCCCTACTATTTTTAAGCATCATGTCGTATAAGTTATAATGTTTGTATGTATTGTACTGCGAGAGTGTATATGAGTATGCGTGTATTTAGCTCTTCTGTGTTTTTAAGTTTTAATTAAGTCGGAAAGAGAATGAGAACTGTACATATTTAATGTAATCGAGACGATTTAATTAGAGCGAAATGTACGATGGTTAATAGTAGCATTCCCGAACACGAGAAGTGCAACCGCATTTCGTGACAGAAGAATGTCAGAGGTGCGCCATTGATATGCACAAGAGACTATGAATTTCATACCGTTTGTACTTTGTAAAAACATTCGAATGGTACTCGATATAATTGTTTTCTAGAGGTGTCGTCCCTATTATCGTTTCACAAGACACGAAAAAGAGGTCCTGCAAGAAGTAACGAAAGAGAGAGATAGAGAGAGAGAGAGAGAGAAAGAAAGATATTACCCAATTCAGTTAGATGTACAAATTGTGTGATATATAAAATTGTTGATTATGATTGTACATAAAAATATCAACATTAACGTAATCGCAACGATATTGGGTAAGGAAGAAAAACAGTTACTACTAGAGAAGGATTATTTTGTTGTATAAAAAGAAAATCTTGTTGATTATTCGGGGTCTGACTTCTTTTGGTTGCTTATTTATAATCCTAAATTTACCTTTCTAAAAATGTCCCTTACAATGATCATTGCTGAAAAGAAAAAAATTTTAGAAGTTACAATTTTTAACTATGCAAAATATTTGAGCAAATAAAAAGGTATTCATAAGAAAAGTTACTCTTTAGTTGAGATTTATCTCGATATTCAATAAAACTGATTTAAAAAAAGAAGAGTATGTATTAAAGTTACTGTTTAATCCTTGTCCTTCGTATAGTGAAGCTTTGTAACACTGATGTTATGAATACACTTAAATAAACAGAATAAATGTGTGCTTTCTTTACATACCATAGTGAATAATTAATATTGCCTTCAATCTTAAAGACAAACATAATGTAACAGAAAATATTTATCCATAAAATTGTTTCATAGAAATGTACTTCACTTTTTCCCTGCAGTCGCTTTTATTCGGTACTTATATAATAGCTATTACGTTTGGGAAGAATCAAGTACACAATTCGAAAATCTTTATTCATAAATTGCAATTGTGAGGCCATCTAGGGAACGGCAGTGTATCCTTAATATTCGATATGCCCAAAATAGATTGTAAAAACCTTTCAAACCCCATTCCAAAACCACCTGTTGGAACATTGCCATATTTACGAAGTTCTAAGTACCAAGATAGATTTGTTCTTAAAGGTAATTTCGACTTTAATTTCTTGTAATCGTCTTCGCGCATACTCCCTCCTACTAATTCCCCTACTTCAGGTACTAAAAGATCCATTGCAGCAACCTTCAAAGAAAAGTATAATACTCAATGCTTACCTACTATAAGCATTGTACTTCTTAGTTCAAAGTTCCTCACCTTTGAATCATCATCTTTACAGGCTTTCATATAAAAAGGTTTAATTTCTTTGGGCCAATTTGTGACAAATATAGGAATACTATTGTTTTGCTCTACTAAAAATAACTCTTCCTTTTTGGAAAATGCAGTTCCATACGTAGCAGGCTTTTCTAATGTCTGGACATTATTTTCTAATATTTTAAATGCATCATCATACGTCATGCGTGTAAATTTTTTATTCAACCATTGTGGTTCATGACAACCAAATGAATGCATGTCAGGAGCACCTTTTTCAACTACATCTTTAGTAACAGATTTGATTAGTAATTCAACTTCATCCATTATGTCATCAATACTATCGATAAATGCTACTTCAGCTTCTACCATGTAAAATTCTGATAAATGCAATCTTGACTTAGAATTCTCAGCTCTGAATGTTGGTCCAAATGTATATACCCTTGTAAGAGCTCTGAAAAAATTTAACAGTTCATGTACGTATTTTCAAAACCACATCTTCTATGACCTAATTATCAATCATACAATTTTCTAGTTTCATCACCTTGCAACAGCTTCTAAATGTAATTGTCCAGAAACTGTTAAAAAAGCCTTACTATTAAAATAATATTCTTCCTCCGAAACACCTTCCTTTTTCATAGTTTGCAATATCTCTGCAGAACATGGTTTGACTGAAAACAATTCTCCAGCACCTTCACAATCATTTGAAGTTAAGACTGGAGTATGCACATTAATGAACTCCCTATTTCTGAAGTAATTCCCAATGGATGCAGATGTTAGATCTCGTAATCTCAATAAACTAGAGAAGGTTCTAGTTCTTGGCCTTAAGTGCAAATACTGCCTAATGTATTCCTCAGAATACTGTTTTCTTGGAGCAAAAGGGTATCCATCCATAACGTCGCATGTACCAATTACCGTAATATCGTTCGCGTGCAATTCAATACTACCATTTGGAGCCAAAGTTAACTCCCCTTCCGCCATGATGCTACTGCCATAACTTAATGTATCCAGTTTGTTAGATTTCGGTATGACGACTTGTAACCCTTTTGACGTTGATCCGTCAGAAATATCAACGAAAATGTTGTTTTTCATTTTCCTGACTGCCCAAACCCAACCCTAAATGAAGAAACGGTTTGGTAACCAATGTCACGAATAAAGTAAATTTACGAGTGATAGACCTACATATAGGATGTATCATCTGTGTTCATTATAACGATTCTATCGCATTAAATAAATGTATAAACGACATACGGAGTGAACTATTATCATAGTATCAAAAAGTAATGGATCACGGCTAACCTGTACTTTCATACGTTTTCCAAGTGCTTCTTTGCAATTAGTATCGCATATTTGCGACATACTGTGAACATTGCACTTAGGGACTTTGAGATTTAGAAGCAGTAACTTTTCAATGTATTTAGAAAACATTGTGAATAAGATTTTGTTCGAGATATTACGGAAGTTACACGACTAATTACACATAGCAAGTACAAAATGGAGTCTCCGTACGAAGACCTCGTGTAGACAGAGTTTGACATCTACCACCCTACCGTACATTGATTGTTAAAATGTAATACGGCTGGCTAACAACTCGGTTTGTTCTGTATTAAATTTTCAAAGTGTGCAACATTTTCGCATTTAAACAATTGGTCTATGGTACTATAGACATATACATATAATAAACTACGCGGTCTTATGATAGGGCTGAAGTTGAGACCGTAGGATAGATGTAGTGCTGGAGTAGCTCTCTCTTGCTCACACATCGCAGTGGGTGGTGAGAAAGCGACTCAAAGCGACTGGTGGACGATAGGGGAAGGAATGCTGTATGCATGTAATACCACCGACTAGGTATAGAATAGACCTATCATCCAATGCTCTTTTTTGTCCCACGTTCGGAGGTAACCCTCTTACCATTTCAGTGCCAATACCCGACGTTACTGATAAAGCATGAAATCTGAGTATTATTAGCACAAATGGAGCATTATATATTCCATTCATAATACGTGTATCCAATATGATTTGGTGGGAATAAAAATATCCGATGCTTCGGTTTAAAAGATGAATATTGTAATACTGATGAAATATGATAACTTATTCTAAATTTCATCGTTAATGAACATTTTAGTAATGTTACGTTTCCCACGTTCCCTTTTTATTCGTTTTTATATTTCTTTTATCCGATAAAGTGATATAAGAATCTTAATACGCATAATCAATTACCTTCTGGTAATTGGTGAGGAAGTAATTAAACAATGAACTTCGACCCAACTAAAGCTTAGCTAGTCAAGCTTTCTTCATGAAAAATAGTTTTGATGTATTATTTAACTGGTAATATCTATTGTATTATATTTCATAAACTTTGGCATCATGGTCAAATTGACAGGATATATTTATCATAGATGGCGTTAGAGAACCATTGGAGGATTGAAAACTTCGAGAAGACGAGAGTAAAATTAATACTTTCGATCTATTAGGAAGTGGAATATCACATTTTCGGGGATAGTGTGTGTCTCTTTGTTTCCCTTTCATGATAGTCATTCCCTCCTGAATTAATCTCGGGTGCATATAAGAAAATATATTGAAATATAATTCGGCGGTAAATATTCTATTTCGTTCAAATAGAAAGTTGAGCAAGCAGGAAAGCGACCAATCCTCACGTTCTTCACCAACCGACGCACCAATCACAGGCCTTATACATAACCGAATCAACCAATGACAGCCAGTCAGCCAGCCTAACGGTCATTCGTCTCAGGGAAGCTGGACTGATTAGACGTGTAGTGATCTCGCTCGTGGCGAAGTAAGTATTATTACTTTTCACTTTAAATTATTTATGCTATTAGTATCTACATTACCACTCTATCGTTACATTTGTTTAGTATCTATTCAATTCAATGCAAATAATCGTAAATTAACTCGGTATTGCTGGATAAAGTGAACTGGTTTCACGATTTCTGTTCTCTCCCGGTACCAATTAGTATTTACGCAGTTTTTGTTTAATTTGCAATCTTTAGCGATACTCTTTGAGTCAATAATTGTTTCGTTGTGACTCAGTCATTGTTAATTTAGTATAATTACTTGGTATTAACGTTTATTTTCTGTTCCAGAATTCCGGCTAGAAAGAACGCGCCAACGATGCCAATCCCATTAGACGCAATTTGGTGGGAAATTGGTGAATTCTGGTGATGTATTACAACAAAATAGTTAATATTCCAGTAGATATTTTTATTTTAGTACACTTTTACTGTTTTGACCGTAAACTTGATCGCGATTTTCTGATTAACTGTGCTGAAAGCAAACAAGAATTTTTTCGAGAAATATTTCGCGTTCAAACGCAATTGAAGCATTCAATATGGCTTCTTGTTTGACCATTAGGAAATTTAAACGGGAATGTTCCAGAAGTTTCAATTCGAAATACTCATAGTTTACTGGATCTCGGTCGCGAAATTGTTTAAATTTTAATAATTTTTCGAGGTTATCATTACGATGTCATCGTATTTGTATTTATATACGGTTTCGGGTGTAAGTTTAATTGTACATATAGAAGCTGCGTAGTTTACGATGCTCATCGAAGCTAAAGTAAATAACGAAGCTTTAATCCTTGCAACGATTTTCTCAATATTTATAAAATTCGGTACGCGATGTAGACAGAAATAACGAACATTCTTAAACTCTAACGACGAATGTCTTCAATATAACATATTAATATCAAATATATATCAGTAATGAATATAATATATTGAAACAATGGAGAATTATTTTGGAATATTGTTTAACTATGGTACCTTTGCGTAGTTAAATTCATATTTTAATATTTATCGTCGAATGACAGTATTTTCATGATAAAAACACTTGGTAAAATATAAAAATAAAAGGGCTAAGCCGGTGCACGTGCGCCGTATTGTATTTCTTTCCCCCCTTTTTTTTCCACAGTATTTGGTGGCCGCGTGCAAGGCGGTCGAGTCGAGTCAGTGTTTGTTTACATCGAAGTTTTTTCTGTTTATGCGGAGCGAACTGGCGCCGATTAGGATCTCACCGGAGATGTATTATGGTCTTCGCGGAACTAGAGTCAGTGTTTGTTGCGTACA